CTGCAGGAGAGAGTAGATCCTCCTCTTTTCTAGTTCCCGATGTCTGTCCAGCTTTCCTTTCGTGAATCACGTTACTTGTCAATGCCTCTTGAACTAACAGTTAACTATAGTTAATAACTTAGATTTATTTTTCACTGTAAATTTGGACCCATATGTGGGACTCTCTACATCCATCCCTGTGAAATTTTCTCTCCTCAGATTCATCCTACAATTCAGGTTGTCATGTCCTTTTGGATTCTTACTGTCATCTTTCTTCTATGGATCTTTATTATTACCTGTTATATATGCCTTATCTAACTCGGAGTAGAACTGAAGACACACCTATCTGTTGCGCTACCAGAGAGTTCTTTCTAAATTGATGTGGATCCATTAGCACTCTTTTATTACAGATAGTAAGATGTAGATGACTGAACTTTATTTTACTGCGCTCACAGTTCAACCCAGGGACAGAGTAACAGGCCAGCATCAAATACTTCATCACTAAAAGCGACAGTTCTCAGCATTCGCCCTGATCTCGACCTTCAGTGACTGTTAACAAGGAAGTGAGGATTATGACTTCTATTTAGGGAACCCATGCTCCTTTTTATTGACCCAAAGCGACAGTTCTCAGCATTCGCCCTGATCTCGACCTTCAGTGACTGTTAACAAGGAAGTGAGGATTATGACTTCTATTTAGGGAACCCATGCTCCTTTTTATTGACCCAAAGAACCTTTTCCAGACTTGCATAATCTATTTATGTTTAACTAACCCCTCTGGGATCCCATCTGTAATTGATCTTAATCTCCCCAGTTATGATATGTTAGCTGCTCAGAAATTGGAATGCATTTTTTCAGTGTTCATGGAGTGTTCAGAATTCATTCAACAAGTGCTTCTGAGCACCCCACACGCTGCTTGGAGCTGGGGAAACAGCGGTGTGAAAAACAAACTACAACCCCTGCCCTCTGGAAGCATATATTCTAGTGAATGGAGACAAGTAATATAATCAAGTAAATGATTTATTAGAAATTCACAGAAGAAGGTAACAGAATAATGTGGAGGAGTGGTAATTTTAGGTAAGGTGGTCTAGGTAGGCCTCATTAAGATGGCAAAGTTTGAACAAAAATGTCAAGCGGTCATGTGTGAATACGGTATAGATGGCTTCACGCAAAGGGAGCGGTCATGCGGTGGCCCAAGGAGACCCAAGGAAGCTTACGGGACTGGGCTGCCGTGAGGAGAAGGGGCGTGCTGGGGACGACACCACAGCACAGGCGCCCAGACCAGGTGGGGCCTCTGACTGTCCCGACTCCCTGGGCTTCATTTCCGAGTCCAGTGGGAGCCACCAGAGGGGTTCCAACAAGATGCAGCTCAGCATTTTAAAAGTATTTCCCTGGCAGCTGTGCTGAGAACAGACTGTAGGTGGAGCAAGGAATGTGTTAAGTGGTAGTTGAGTTCCTCTGCCACGAACGTCCAATTTTCCTGTAATAGAACCTTTATCAACCTGGTAGAACCTAATCAGCATTTATAGTGTGGGTTTCACGGGGAAGTATCAGAAAGGCAGACTTGTCTGTCTTGCTCTGTTTCCTCCTTTTTTGGCCCTTTTATACATACATAGCTTTTATTTTAAATCAAACATGTTATCTTAGAGATGGTCCACATAGCTTGTTTTTTTGCGGTGATTCACTTTGAAAGTGTATATAGTAAATACAGTGTTTGTTCTCAATAATGTATTCTTAGGTAGCAAAGAACCTTATCAGAACCTCACTCTGTCACCTATACTTCCATTATTTTCAGTTACATTGAAAAAATAAGTATTTTTCAAGAATTTACTCTGTATCCATTACTGTGTGAAGAAAGTATAAAATTCTGATCTCCAAGACACAAAAAAGACCCTTAACCCTATGAAAGAAAACAAAAGAATATATGAAATGGTACAGAACTGTGTGAGATGTTATAGAATGCTGAATTCCATTGCATAGATTGTAAGTGCTGTAGACACTTAAAGAAGTTAGAAGACTTTTACATACCAGCCAGTGGCCATATTCCAAAAACTCTTTTGAGCACATATTTTTGGGGGCTCAACACTGAAGAGATGTGGCACTTCCTGGTCCGTAACCACGTCTCATTGTAGAGTGATTGTCAGAGGCCATAGCTCCGTTGGGAGTGTGTATATGTGGTGTGTAGGCTTGGGGGTGGAGAAGATGATCCTTCAGATAAAGGAAACAGCATTAATAGGGCACAGGAGGGGGAGCGAACATTGGATATTTAAATTCTGATAGCGCATATCTAAGTTGTGGGTGGCTCACTGTTGGGTAAAGGTTGGTTGGATAAAAGCTGTTAAGAGAATCAATAGATGTTGTAGTATTGCTTTGGTTATCATATTCACTATTAATAAAAAGAGAAGGAAAAAAAACCTTTGAGAGCCCCCAACATTCCCGGCAGGGAAGTGGGAATGTGAAGGTATGAGAAATTAGGTGTACTGTACCTGAGCGTCTTCTACCTTTTGATGTCTACTAAGAAAGTAAAAAATGGGGTTTCCCTAAAAACAGACCTCACGATACTCTAGAGATAATGCAGGTTCTTGGACTGGATGGATCACAAGGCAGGTCTAGAATCAGAAAGCACATTGCCTTGCCTGTCAGTCCCAGCAACACACGCTCTCAGCTACCTTCCCTTTGAACACGTGTGTTTCCTTGACAGTTTGTGGACACATTGCTTGTTTCATACGTTATCAAATGAGGAACTGTGTCATAATTTTATACCTACTTTGCTGAATAAAAGCCATTGTTTACTTGGTGTGTTCCTAGTTCCCAGGGAGATAAATTAGTATTAGTCAAGTCATAGCAAAGATATTGTGCAAAAAAATAGAATAGAGAATTTTTAGAAAAAGACATTATTTTGGTAGTTACACTAAAATTTAATAGGTGTTTATTTTTAGCTGTCTACTAAAGTAAATTTCTAAAATGACCTGCTGATTTGTTTTGTTCAGCCTGCAAGTCCCGGGCAACCTCCTCCTCCACTTCTCAGACGTTGTACCTCGGTCCTGGAGACCATAGTAAGAACTGTGCCAGGTCTTCTGCAAGCTGTCTTTCTGATAGCAAAAGTCAAGTATTTATCAGGTGGGATATGCCTTAAAGACATAAAATAACCTTTTTATACTGATGTTGATATAAGCAAGTGTAAATAAAACTAAGCACTCCACATGTATGGAGAGTAGTCACGTAAAATACATTTTATACATGCACCAGTAAGTCAGTTTAATCCAAAATAAAATTTTCTATCTTGCTTTGCTATTTAACTCTGAAAAAATTACTATAAACTTCTGTAGTCAAGTGAATTACTGGGAAAACACAGTCATACCACTTAAAAAAAAAGTCCATCACGTGGTACTTAGGTAGCAAAAAGAATTTACAGTCTCAAGCAATAGTTGTGGACTCACCGACATAACCAAATGCAATGTTTACCAGGTATCAGACCTTTATGAAATGTGTCAGTTAATTCTTGTTTAGTTATTGTGATTGATTATGTGTAGCTAAGCAAGATAACCCAGGTGCATGACCTTAGGTTCTTGATGTACACACAAACTATATACATAAAATTGGACCATCTTAGGGTGCCTGCTGAATGTTACACAAAGTGAATTAAGTTCATGAAATCCTAAGGGGTAGAAACCAACTTAAAGGTTTTCTCATAAAGTTATTTTTTATACATAATGGAGAGAGTAGATTGACTTTATTTTATTGGACCTCAGTTTTAAATGTTAAAAAGAAAAACAGGATGATTTCAAAAGTTTTTATCTCTAAAGTGCTGTTCATGGAGGAAATGACTCTGTAATACCTTGTTGTGATTAAGTTCTGTTATTGGGACACGTGATATTTGTCCTTTCCTCCCAATTGGAATGATATCACTGCTAGCAATGAAACAGGGACTGAGTTCTGGGATTAATTTATTAAACGTGTTGTTTATTTTGAAAATTGATATAAATCATCTCAACATGGCAATACTTAATGGCCAAAATCTGTAGAAATAAATGTCTTGTGACTGGCCCCCATTTTTAAAAAGGGCAGCCTGAAATTATTTGAAATAGTGTCAACACATGTCTAAAGAGCAGTATTCTTACCAAATTGCCAGTTGCAGTGACTTCTGACACTGACTTCCTGGGGTTGGACCAAAGTTTACAGGCTGAGGACATAGTCCTCCATCAGACTGCCCTCACATCAGACACCAGACACATGTTCAGGGCCACCTGCACTTCTGACTAGCTGGCTACAACTTTGGGGGTTCCTACCACCCTCAGCTTTGAATTCACTACAGTGACTCATAGCTCAGAAACCATTATACTTGGGATTAGAGTTTCATTATATAGCAAAGGGATAGTAATCCAAACCAGCGAAAAAAAGGAGAGATGCAAAGGACAAGGTCTGGGAGTGCCCCACGTGTGAAGTTGCCGTTGTCCTCCTCTTTGAAGTCAGGACCCATCACCTTTCCAACACACCCAGGCGGCGCAGTACATGGGGAGCATTAGCAGCCAGGGACGCTCCCTCTAGTTTCAGTGTCCATGTTTTTATTACAGTTTCCTTGTCTGGGGATGGATTAAGTACTGGCCAAATCACTGCGCTCAGGTCTCCAGGCCCCCTGCCCTGAGCTCAGGCATGGTCACAGGGCTCAGCACCCCTGCCTCACAGGGTTGGTCTTTCTGGCACAGCCAGTTCCCTGCCTGAGTCGTATCATCAGCATAAACTATCTACGGGCCCATCATGAGTCTTCTCATTAGCGTAAATAATCAAGGCCAACCTCAAATAAAATAACAAAGATACTCCTCCCACTTGGGGAATTCCAAGACTTTGAGACTCCTTCCCAGGAACCTGGGAGGAAGGTGAGCCAAATTCTTATTTTACAAGACCCCGACAGACAGACAGATGCACAACAGAAATGTCTTTCATTTTTCCCTCACGGGAAATTGGGCTGCTCTTGGATAAAAATACTATGCTGATGTGATCTTTGTCTATATGGTCCATTTTTTCCCAACAGTGAGGACCCACTTCGCATTTTTAAATACTTAATGACATTCTGAATGATGACCCCAGACTTTTCCCCCTCACCCTTAAAAGAAACAGAAAGGATTCTGATCTCAGTTGTTCACACATTGCTCAGATTTGTCAGCCTCTTATTTTTAAACCCTCCTCCTCTTCTATGTACTTTCCCCCTGAGCATTAATCTCCATCTTCAAGTTACTGCCTTAATCCTCCTCCTTCCTGAGAAAACAGGGGTGGTTAATTGGCACATAGATTTATTAACCTTCCCGTCTCCTTTTCACCCTGCTCATTTCTGAATGTTAGGCTGCATCATGATAAAAAAGAATCCAATGCTATTTATTATGCTTAGTGGTTAATTGACAAATTTAGGTACCCTGTTTAGTATGTTATTGTGCTGCCTCAGCCAGCAGTTTGTCCACACATCCTCTGTGTCTAAGAAAACTGTTTTCTGTATAAACAGATTCTGCTATCAGTAGGTTGAGCCTTTGGGAACTGAATGTCTGTAAGCCTTGTTTTGACAATTGATGTTATGGGTTAAGGTTAAGGAGAGTAACTGAATAGAATATAATTATATATCTTATCCCTTTTCTGTTATTTTATGTACAGTAATAAAATTAGTACTAGACTGTATCCTGTTTACTAATGTAAATGACACTACAGAATTCTGGTTATTTTAAATGTCTATGTTTTACATAACTTGCTTTAATGAAGTCGTATGTAAAAAATGTGGTCTTGATCAGGAGAATAAATAAAGAGGCATTTATAGTCCTCTCAGTAAGGTGGTGACTGACTCTGATCCTTTCAGACACTTCCCCTGCTTTGCTCCTGTGACCAGAGGGCTGGCCTGACTCCCGGGCGCGTCCTTCCGTGAGGACTAGAAGGAAGCTCCCTCGCAGGGAGAGATTAGCTGTTGATCTTACGAATGAAAGACTTGAAGTTTCGATGCTAGACCTGTCTACGAACTGCTCTTCCCACTCTCTTCTCTCAGAGCTCGATCTCTTCATAGTTTGAATTCTAATTATGCTTTGTCTCTCTCTTAATAGGTGACAGCGAAGCAGCTTACCATAACCTGCAGTCCTGCCTAAAACGCAGCCCTTCTTATGCAGATGCTCATCTCCTGATGGCTCAAGTTTATTTGTCTCAGGAAAAGTTCAAATTGTGTTCTCAGGCCCTTGAGCTTTGTCTGAGTTACAATTTTCAGGTACGTGATCCAAACTGAAATAGAGAAGACGTGTCATCCACTGGGAACCTTTGGCCTATGTTTACATATATTGAGCTATTTTTTATTTTTGCGTATGATACTTTGCTAATAAATGTATATTTAGTGGGAAAAGATTGGACTTCGAAGCAAGCGGAGGAAACCCGGAGGCAGCCATGGCGTAAAAAGCAAAAAAAAAAAAAAAATGGACTTGGAGAGAAAGACCTGGTGCCGTGTCTGATCTTCCCACTTACCTCTTGCTGAACTTCAGTTCAGTATTCTTTTCTATAAATTTCACAGAACAGTACCTGACAGTTATGTTAGCATTAAATGCAACAATGTGTATTAAATACTGATTTGTTATACAATGTGTATAACAATGATTTTAAGCTATAGAGCATTATGCCAAAGATTTTTGTGTGTAAGGATTGTATTTTACTTCTTGTTTCTTTCTTGGGCTTTGGTTTTTAGTCACTTCTTTAGAGCCATCATCAAAGAATGGCTAGTCATTTTCAGCGTCAGTGTGCGGTCTGAGGAGATCAGCACACTAGGTTCCTATCCTACATATTCTGTGCTGCACCCTGTATCCCTCAACAAGTAGGGAAATCATAGGTTCAGGTGCTTCCTGGACTACCTGGGATCACAAAAGGGCTCCTTACACTTCACTTTCGCTTGCAGGGTCTTGAACCTGTGAGTGGATGGAGAACTGAAGTTCTAGGCAAGATCTGCAGAAGATAATGTCTGCTTTTTAGGACAGTAGTTCCCAAGACTAGTGGTGCGTCCTACCCCAGTGCCCCACTCCAATGGGTCAAAACCTCTGAGACGAGACCATAACCCTGCGTGTTTAAACAGAGCCCAGAGGTCAGCGTGATGCCTCACTGAGGCTTGCAGCCGCAGCGTTGAAGAACAGGTGGCTGCCACATCCCGTCAGCCAGGGTCATCTCCTTCCCTTTGACAACGTCTTCCTTGTTCACGTTGTTCTCCTGTTTCTTCTGTATATGCTGCTGATAGCCAAACAGAGACAGGAGCTTCATTACCACCCGTTTTGGAGTAGTACCCTAGGGTAAAACCAGTGTGTGATTAAAGTGTCCTGAAATTTCTAATCTTACAATTAAAACAGAAAAGGGAAAAAGCTGTGTTTCTAGAAATCTCATAGCTTTATACAGAACCAGAGGATTCTGAGAAAGAATTTCCTTTCCTGAAGACTCAAATCATTTCTTAGAATTTATTGGCTAACCTCATAAGCTTTGCTTGCATTTTTCTCTTCTGTCATGGTGGAAGCACTTGTTTGTCCTACAGGAGATGTTAAGTAGTGACAGGCCCTCAGTCTGATTTAACACAGGAAATGACGAGCGTAAGGGAACAGAAATAGACCTCAAGTATACAATCTCATCAGGTGTCCTCAGAGATCCTATTAATTTAATGTTTGGTGGATTGTAAATCATTTGTTGATGTTGTAAGTACTCCAAGGAAGTATTTCTGAGTATTATTTTTTCAGGTGAGAGAATATCCTTTATATCATTTGATAAAAGCTCAGTCCCAGAAGAAAATGGGGGAAATAGCAGAAGCAATTAAAACTCTTCATATGGCAATGAGTTTACCAGGAATGAGGAGAACTGGAGCTTCCTCAAAATCAAAATACAGAAACACTGAAGGCGGCGCAAGCCATCGTGTATCAGTCTTCCTTGAGCTGGCAGAGGCTCACCGCCTGAATGGAGAACAGGTAGGTCAAGTCTAATTCAGTGGCTCAGAGCTGAACTTTGTTATTCAGGTGTGTATGTTTATATATTAGTAGGAAATGGAAAAGCTACAACTTCCCTTGACCGAGTGGTAAAGTTTAGAAAATTTATTTCTCATTACTTTGCACTAAATCATGAACTTTCTGCCAATTCCCTCAAATTAAACATAATCGGCTACTATGAAATATGATATTATATGCATAATATATATCATGTCATATGGCTAATAGTATAATATTGGTATAATAAGAAGTGTATTAATATAAGGTAATATATATAATAATGTAATATACAATTATCCAGGCTACAGTGAAAGGTAATACATATAATATAGTTATAAACCTATGGATTCTTAAAAGAATTCACACACACACCTGAGTACTACACTAGAATAAGATGAAAGTACCAACCTGAAATTCTAATAGTTGAAAAAAACAAAAGAACCACTTGAATACAGCTTTGGTAAACTTAAAAAATAGATAGATAGATAGACAGACAGACAGACAGACAGATAGATAGATAGATAGACAGACAGATAGATAGACAGACAGACAGACAGACAGATAGATAGATAGATAGATAGATAGATAGATAGATAGACAGATAGATAGACAGATAGATAGATAGATAGATAGATAGATAGATAGATAGATAGATAGATAGATAGATAGATAGATAGACAGACAGACAGACAGACAGACAGATAGACAGGTAGACAGGTAGATAGATAGATGGATTAGATAGATAAATAGATAGGTAGATAGATAGACAGACAGATAGATAGATAGATAGAGATAGACAGACAGACAGACAGACAGATAGATAGATAGATAGATAGATAGATAGATAGATAGATAGATAGATAGATAGATTAGATAGAAAGGAAGGAAGGAAGGATGCAGTTCTGGGAGAATTAAGGCCAACGGGGCTTCACATCACTGACATCTGTATTCTAGCTAGCAGCCGTTGCTAATCAGCTGTTTTCATATTTTAGTGGAAACTAAGAAGACTTTGTCTAATCTAGATCCTTGCCAAATCTCAAAGAATTTCTATTTCACCAATTAATTAGCATAAAATACATTTAATAAGAACCAGTTGTACAGACAGTTGATTCCACGATTCAGTATTTTTTTCCACTTTTTAATCTTTCTGAAATCAGAATGTCTTATAATCAGTGAAGTGGAGATGAATTTTGAGGTACAGATTTGTATATGAGGTAATACATTTACCAGACATAAAACAAAATTGATGTTCCAGCACAGGGAGTAAAGCAATGTGCTACTTAATGAACAGCCCCTGGGGACAGGGGCCGACGGGACCAGATCCCACCACGGGGGCAGTAATGAACGTACCAGAGAATTTAGGCTTTGGAGCCAGGCTTCTTGAGTTTGAATTCCAGTTTTATCATTCATTAACTTCTTAACTCCCTAAACTTCAATTTACTCACTGCAAGCCAGGGGTAATAATAATTAACTATGTGAGAGGATTTTGTGTGAATTATATGGGTGAATACAATGCTGGGTGCAAAGTAAATGCTAATTAAAACTGTAGTAGCGGTGACTCTTGTGTAGCAGCTGCTTTTGTTCTGGTTATAAAAACATGTTTAGCTAACAGATATTTATAATGTCATCTGAATTTTTTCTGAGTTTAGTTTTATGTTTTTGTACTCACCGAAAAATCTGTCAGTATTTCATGAATATCATAACTATTTACTGTTCATTCTGTATCAGTAGAAAATCTTTGTTTCTAGTATAATTTGTTGAACATTTTGAAAGAGTGTTCTTTTAATTTCATCTTTACAGCATGAGGCCGCCAAGGTTTTACAGGATGCCATCCATGAGTTTTCTGGAACACCTGAGGAACTGCGGGTCACTGTTGCTGATGCAGACCTGGCTTTGGCCCAAGGAGACGTTGACAGGGCTTTAAGCGTGCTTCGGAATGTCACAGCTGAACAGCCTTATTTCATAGAGGCCAAAATGAAAATGGCAGATATCTATCTGAAGCACAGAAAAGAAAAGATGTTGTATATTACTTGTTATAGGTAAATGGTTATTTCAACCCATTATATTTTGACACATTTACTTCCTAAAATTAATTTCCAAAATTTTTTTCCTTGCTTTTAACTGCTTTACAGATATTTTATAGAGATTATTTCCTTAATGTGTTCTTGCTTCCTGCTACCCCCGACCACAATCATTCTAATCAAGTTACTCTCCCTAAAACATAAGTCATAGTAATTATGATTATTCCAACCTGTGGCTATACTGTAGGTTCTTAGCTCTTCTCCCTCCGCAGGTGTTATTTCTAGACCCTAAATATTCCTGTTTGGGTAGGAAAGAGCAACAGTTACATGTATTCTAATAGCTTAAGAGAATTGTATAATGTAACAATTTGGAGGCAAAATGGTCATTTAATACACAATATAATATAATAGTTATAGCAAAGAAAATCATGGCTTTTTATACACCACGCAAAGAAAGAATCACAATTTTTCCTTGTGAAAAAGCAGGAACTTTAAAAGTTATGGCATCTGCTGACACCTTAAGAGTTACTGAGATACACAGCACACGCACACAGGTAGTCGTGCAGGCGTGCGCACACGCACAGACATTGCTCACTTTTCTCCCCTTGCTGAAAAAATAAACATACAAGCACACATTCCTTGTAAGAGAAAATTAATGACTTTTCATCTGTGAAAACATAGTAAAATGTTGATGAATTCAGTTATATGGGTTCATCTGTATTATGTAAATATTGAAGCTCAGAAAGCTGCTCACATTCTTCAGGTGCTGAGCGATTCAAAGAAACAGCAGCACCTCTCATGGAGGTGAATGACCTGGACGTCCTAGATCAGATTTTTAGGATGTTTCCCAAAAATCCTAAAAAAAGCACCTTCAGCTCTAATGATATGAGAATATTTTCAAATAAAGTTGACTTGTTTTGGGTGCCCTGTGATGTTGTTGTTAGAAGCATAGGTTTTGTTTCAAGCAGATCTGACACAACTTAGTGGACTTAAACTCTTAGTATCATGTATAAAATTGGGATAATAATAATCTTCCTGATGTAGTTTTTGGACCAATTAAATCAGCTGTGACTTGGCATCACAACACTTTTTGGTGCTTTCGCCCCCACATCATTCCAGAGCTGAAGATAACAAAAGGTATTTCTGAAAAAGCAGAGTTCATATGTTTACTCTCTGTGTGTACTCTGCTACCTCCATTTTACAAAATGGAAAGACTTAATGAAAAAAAAAATTGTTTATTTAGCAAAAACAATCTCAGGGTGGGTGTGGGTGGGTTTTTTTGTTTTTTGTCTATGTGGAAGGTACTCTGAAAGCTACTGGTGAATTGAAATAAATGTATTTGCCTTTTATTGAATTGATTTAGAAGACGATATGTGTATTTAATCTACTAAGTAGAGTTAATCTGATTTCCAGAGAAATTGCTGAAAGGATGCCCAGCCCTCGCTCTTTCCTCCTCCTTGGTGATGCGTACATGAGTATTCAGCAGGTAAAGTTTCCGATGCTACTCTACTCAAATTTAACAACAGCAAGGCTCTTCTTTGTGATTAGTGTAACATTCTTTTTAAAAGGAAGTTTTAAAAAAATTAATGTTACTTAATAGTCAACTATCCAGTAATCAAAATAAAAAGGACACAGGCATTATAAGAAAAACAAGTTTTGTTTTCAAATTAAGATGCAGCAATTCAGTACTATCATTATTTGAAATATAGATGATACCAGAAACAAGCAGCGTGTCCTTTAGACAGAAGAGCAGTACTGGCTAGGATGGTGTTTGCTGATGACGCACCCCCATGCTAGTGACTGTCATCTAAAATGTGAAGGTATCTAGACTTAAACGTGTGCTCTGTTACTCTTACTGCGTATTCTAGATAAAGAGCATAATTTTAGAAATGATGCCTTTTAATGGGATCCAGCTTTGCTGTTTGTTTATTGCTTATTTTTTGTATCTGTCAATGTTTATTGCTTATGTTTTGTATCTGTCAACATTAGCCTGAAGAAGCCATAGTAGCATATGAGCAGGCATTAAATCAGAATCCAAAAGATGGGACATTGGCAAGCAAAATTGGGAAAGCACTTGTCAAAACGCACAACTATTCAAAGGTAAGTACTTTATGGTTTGAAATACATCTGTTGGAGCAAAATTTCAAACCTTGTTCTATGAGAAGTCTTCAGCAAGCACTGTTTAGATCTTGATGGTTGTAAACTCCAGCTTTGTGTTCACAATCTGGAATTTGTATTAAGACGTTCTCAGTGTCTCCCCTTCTTCATCACTGCATTTTGCAAAGACTCTTTGGAGCTTGTAGTTTACTTCTGGCTTCATCTTGCACCTAAATCCTTACAACCAATTAATTACAATAAAGTTACTGTTAGATCTTTTGCTATATGACAAAGCATAGTAGATGTCCTTTCTATTCAGTAAAGTTCACTGACCTCTGAAACAAAATTTTGCCAAGTACTTTTTTAAACTACTTTTCATAAGAAATGCTAGCTGCCTTGCATGCTGTTTGGTTCTCTAAGAAAAATGGCATCTCTCACTGATAGGCAGGCATGCCCAGCCTTCTCCGAGATTTCCAATTATTTATATACTTTAGGTCTGTAATGTATACAATATCTGTGCTTGACTATCCATTCTCATTGTCTTTTTTTCCTAACTGCAATGGATTTTGCTTAGGCAATTACTTTTTATGAAGCTGCTCTGAAAAGTGGACAACAAAATTATCTTTGCTATGACCTGGCCGAGCTTTTATTAAAATTGAAATGGTATGACAAAGCAGAGAAAGTTCTTCAACATGCTCTAGCTCATGAACCTGGTATGAAAGTCTTTTCTGATTTGAAAACTATACGATACCTGATATGTGTGCTCTGTTTTATTTTTATGGCATATAAATGTGTTTATTTATACTCTTAGTATTTTATATGTGAGGTTGGGTATTTCTATTATCAGAATATCACTCTACTAAAATATATGAAAAATTGAATAACAGATTTATGAAACAGTTAATTGTGTTATAGAAAGATACTTTACTTTCCAAAATGATGGAAAGGAGATTTTCTTTAAATTCCAACTGTATCTTGTGTGTAAACAAGTAAACATTTTTACAATCTTCATTTTTTTAAGTTTTTAAAAAAAAATTCAACACTATAGAAGTATGATGTATAAGTCTGCAGTTTCTCCTGTGAATTCTACTGGCCCTGTTCTCAAACTCCCTCCCTGAAGGTAACCACTTTTGTGCTTTACAGTATTTTACACAGACACATACACACATATATATAAATGTATTAGAGTTATATGCATGATTTTTCATTTTGAAAATGTGTTTCCTATTCTGCAATTTTTTTCACATATAATATGTCCTATATATAGTTTGATGTCAGTATATTCAAATCATTTTATCTAATGGCATTGTAATATTCTATAACTCTGTAAGTTATTTAACTGTGTCCCAATTATTGGGCATTTAGTGTTCCATTCTTTTGATATTATAATCTATATTACAATGAATATCCTTGTATCTCATTCTTTGGTATATACTGGTTTATATTTCTGAAGAACAAGATGCTAAGTCAGAGGGTATGTGCATTTAAAATTTAATTGGATACTCTCAAATTGCCTTCTTTCAAATTTGAAGAAGATACGTGTATTTAAGTATAGTTGATCTGATTTCAAATTTATTGGACAAATTTACTTTTTAAAGATGTTTATTTTTTTAAGTAAAATCTAGTGCTTGCTCATTTTCGGAATTTAAAGATTACAGAAGTGAATGAAAGTATTGTCCCCTCTCTTGGGAGAAAGCCACATTTAACTCGTGTAGCATCCTCATCAGTCCCCTGGCCCTGTCTCTGTCTCTCCCACACATAATTATATACCACATTTTTTTCTATCCAAATGGGATTGTATTATACCTTTATGTCTGCAGTATACATTTTTCATTTAATAGCTTCTCTCCATGTTATCAAATGTAGCTCTTCATTTTTTTTTAGCATAGGTATTGTATGTCAATATAATTTATTTGTTGAATCCCCTGTTGACAGATCAAAGAAAACTGGGGAACAACACTAAGAATCCTTGTTTACAAGGATATTGCTGTATACTTCCTAGAATTGAATCTTGCCCCACTGTTCCCCCTTTAGGCTATAAGTGTACCAACATTATGTAGTATTAGTCATAGGAAAAAAGCCTTCCTAATTTGTATTTCTTTGATGACTGACAAGATTAGGCATCGTTTATGTCTATGGATCCTGTTTTCTTATAGGGATTTTTCATTCATACCCTTTGTCTTTAATCCTTAATTTATGATTCATTAATCTATTACCTGTTATTCATGTTGCAGATGTTTTCTTCCAAGCCATCCCTTATTTTTTTAATCAAATTTGTTTATCATTTCCTTGGTCAAGTAGAATATTTAATTAACATATGTAACACCTGCCACGTCGTTTCTTTTTGTGAACTCTAAATTTCCTATCACACTCAGAAAAATCTTCCCTAACCCTAACATTATAAAAAGTATTTCCTTGTATTTTGTGGAATTTTTGTAGTTTTATTTTTTATAATGGAGAACATTAATCCATGTCCTCTAATCCACATGCAATTTTTGCTATATAGTTTCCCAAATGAATAGCTAATTTTACTTCAGTGCCATTGATTGAAAGGCTACTTTTATCATATAATAAACATAAATTTGTTTCTAAGAGTCTTTGTTTTGCTGCACTGAGTTACTTTTCTTTTATCAATGACATGTTCATTGTAGCTTTAAAATATGTTTGGATACATGATAAGGCAAGCCCCCTCTAAGTTTTCTGTTACTTCCAAGTCGCAGTATAATTTAGCTTTGATGAAGTTGGAATTTAAATTCTCCCAATTTTGAGTGCATTTGCTAAAAAGTGTTTTTGGTACCATCTGACAACTTCTCTGACCTGCAAAAGAGTAATAACAAAACCTGCCTCTCACGTTGAGATTTTGCAGAAAGAATGTATATAAATTACTTCAAACAGAGCATGGCATGGACCATACACTCAAAAAATAGTGGAAGAAACATGTTTTTGTTAGTTATCTAGGGTTCTTTATTACTGAAGGTCACAAAATGATAATATCAAAAATTAAAAAGCAGTTACCATGTACTAGATTTTAATTGTGTTGCAGATATAACTTATTTAATAACTTTTTAAACTTTTCAACAGCCCTGTAAGATAGATACTTTTATTTCCCCTATTTTACAGATGAAAGAGAGGCACAGAATGGATAAGTACCTTGGTCAGAGTTAAATAGCCAGTAAGTGATAAAGCCTGGATTTGAAACCAGGCAGGTTGAATATCAAAGTCAGTATTTTTAATGACTGTACTGTATTGCTTATCAAGTACCTAGTATTTAAAAAATAGCAGTTAGCATAGTAGCATGTGGCAAGTACTCTGTCTGGCTCTTTAACAACTTCAACAGACAGAAATGTTTATCCCCTTAAGAATGGAAATTGAAATCATTTGTGTTGTTACATTGTTCCCTCTTATATATGCCTAAGAAAAACCCTCAGTTGTTATCCAGTTCTTTACATTTTATTCCAGCTAGTTTTTATCCTAAATCTTCTTTTTAATTTGGCCATTCTTCAATTAACTGACTGAAAAATTTTTGACTTTATTCAGTACTGTTCAAAATCATTCTCTCTCAAAGACTAGTTTTAAAACTTGTAGAAAAATCTAATCATTTATTTAAAATGATTATTTTCCCCAACATATTTTCTTCTTTAATAGTAAATGAACTGTCAGCTCTCATGGAGGATGGACGTTCTCAAGTTCTTCTAGCAAAAGTTTATAGTAAAATGGAAAGACCTGGTGATGCAATCAATTCGTTACAACAGGTAAACACCTTTGTCTGAGAGTAGTTCCCGGATGTGGGATGGACGCAGAATTGAATATGCACAGATAAGAGGAAGACAGTCTCTTTCTGCCCAGCTGTCACAGGAAATTAAGTCAAAATAGAAAAACTGTTAAGTCCAATAGGTTGTACTCTTTAAACATATAATTGCTAATTATTATACCAATTAGGGTTTATATATTTAATCCTATTTTACACCTGAGGAAGCTCAGTTTAATAGCTGTGTGAATTCACATGACTAGTGTCATAGGCAGGATTTGAACTCACTTTTGTCTTCTTCCAGTTATTTGTATATTCTTTAATTTCTCTTAATATTTTGTGGTTTCTGTGTAGAGATTTTACACACATTTCCTTAAATATATTCCTAAGTGAATGATATTTCTTGATGTCTTTCCATTTCTAGTTTGCTAACAATTTTTTTTATAAGTAATTAAATTTTATCTACTCCACTCTGTGTTGTTATGTGTTATGGTCATGTGACTTTCCTGTTTTTTTTCCTGTTAATATGGTATATTAAATGGATTGATTTTCAAATGTTAACCCACTCTTGTATTCCTGAAATAAATGCCACTTTTTCGTGATTTTTTTAAAAAACACATTTCTGGAATTTAAAGGTGTTTGCTAATATTTTGTTCAAGATTTGTGCATTTATGTTCATGAGACAGATTGGTCTCTAAGACTAGGGCCATTACTGTTTGGGCAATTCAATATTAAAACCATTGGGATGTCAAGGTTCTGTTTTTTCTTTTTGAAGTGTCATTGATAGACAATCTTATATTTCAAATATACAACACAGTGTTTCAGCAGTTACCATATTATTAAGTCCTCACCCATCCAGTGTGGTCACTGTCCATTAACTTAGATGTTACAGAACCATTAAATGTATTCTCTGTGCTGTACTACCATCCCTGTGACCAACCTACATTGTGATTGCTAATTACTGTGCCCTTTGATCCCCTTCCCCCTCCCCCTCCTCACCAACTCCACCTCCTTAGTCTTCACTAGTTCCTTCTCCGAGTCTGTGAGTCTACTGCTATTTTGTTCCTTCTCTTTTGCTTTGTTTTTATACTCCACAAATAAGTGAAATCATTTGGTATTTGTCTTTCTCTGCCTGGCTTATTTCACTAAGCATAAAACCCTCCAGATCCATCCATGTTGCAAATGGGAGGATTTCTTTTAATGGCAGAATAATATTCCATTTTGTATATGTACCACATCTTCTTTATCTATTCATCTACTGATGGACGCTTAGGTTCCTTCCATATCTTGGCTTTGTAAATAATGCAGTGATAAATATAGAGGTGCATATGTCTTCAATCAGGGATTTTGTTTTCTTTGGGTAAATTCCTAGGAGTGGAATTACTGGGTCAAATGGTATTTGTATTTTTAGTTTTTGAGGAGCCTCCATATTGCTTTCCACAGCAGTTGTACCAATTTACATTCCCACCAGCAGTGTAGGAGGGTTCCCCTTTCTCCACATCCTCACCAACATTTGTTGTTGTTTGTCTTTTGGATGGTGGCCATCCTAACTGGTGTGAGGTGATATCTCGTTGTTTTAATTTGCATTTCCCTGATGACTAGTGATGTGGAGCATCTTTTTATGTGCCTGTTGGCCATCTGTATTTCTTCTTTGGAGAACTGTCTGTTCAGGTCTTCTGCCCATTTTTTAATCAGATTATGTGTCTTTTGGGTGTTGAAGCATATGGGTTCTTTATATATTTTGGATGTTAACCCCTTATCAGATGAGTTGTTGTGAATATATTCTCCCATACTGTAGGATGCCTTTTGTTCTGCTTTTGGTATCCTTTGCTGTACAAAAGTTTTTTAGTTTGATGTAGTCCCACTGTTCATTTTTAATTGTTTTCCTTGCCTGAGGAGAGATGTGTCTAGGAAAAAATTGGTCATGTTTATATTCAAGAGATTTTTGCCTATGTTTTCTTCTAAGAGTTTTATGGTTCCATTGACCTTCATTCAGGTCTTTGATCCATTTCGAGTTTACTTCTGTGTGTGGAGTTAGAGAATAATTCAGTTTCATTCTCTTATATGTAGTTGTCTAGTTTTCCCAGCATCAGTTATTGAAGAGGCTGTCTTTTCCCCCATTGTATAGTTATGGCTCCTTTATCATTTATTAATTGACTATATATGTATGGGTTTATATCTGGGCTGTTTATTCTGTTCCATTGATTTATGGATCTGTTCTTGTGCTGGTACCAAATCGTTTTGATTACTGTGGCCTTGCAGTAGAGCTTGAAGTCAGGGAGGGTAATCCCCAAGTTTTGTTCTTTCTCAGGATTGCTTTGGCTATTCACAGGGACCTCAAGGTTCTTTTGATGGAAAACTCTTAATGGGTTTCAGACTGATCACTTTTGGATTTCTGCTTATGTTAGTTTGGATAACTATATTTTTAAGTAATTTGTTCATTTCATTAAATTGTCAAATTTATTGACATAAATTTGTTCATTATGTCCTCTGTTGAATGTCTGCACAGTGCTGTAAAAATGTCTTCTTTCTTAGTCCTGATGCTGGTTATTTTATATTCCTTTTATTATTAATGATCAATTATGCCAAAGGTTTATTGTCTTTATATTTTCAAAGAACCAACTTTTGCCTTTCCTGGTTCCATTAAATATTTGCTTTTTACCTTATTAATTAGTTTCTTCTACTTCCTTTGGATTTGGTTTGCTTATCTTTTTTATACTTTATTGAAATAGTATGTTAGGTTACGGGTTTTTAGCCTTTGCTCTTTTCTTACTCATTTAAAGTGATAAATTTCTCTCTAAGCCCTACTTTAGCTATATCCCCCATAATAGTTTCTCATTTCTACTTTTGCTTCTTTGACCTGGGAGTCACTTAAAAATATAGTGTTAAATTTCCAGGCAGTTCTGATTTTCTTGTTATCTTTGATACTGATTTCTAGTTTAATTCCATTGTAGTCAAATGCATGTTGTGATCCTTTGCAGTCTGTTAAAGCTTTCATTATGACCTACGTTATAATCAGTTTTGGCAAAGTTTCCATGTGGATTTGAAATAATATGCTTGTAGCATTACTAAGTGCTTGGCTCAGTATATGCGGATTATGTCAAGTTTGTTCATTATTTGCCCCCATGGTCTCTGAGCTTGAAGTAGAAAATAGAACACCCCGCTGCTCATCCTGCGTGCTTCCCAGACCACCACGCTCCTTGCTCCCTTTTACCTGATGTTTGTGTACTCGGAAGAGTTCTGTATTCTGCAAATAATTTATCAAATACTTGGATTTTGAGCATGAAGTAACAGTGTGTGTGTGTTTATAAATATGTATAGGTGATGTCCAATAACTTCTTTGTTCTTGTGAATGAATTGAGCCTGGACTCTTAGATTTCTGTGATTCCCCTGTAACCTTATGGTATCATTAAAATACATAATCTTCAACAAGGTTAATATCCTTAATTGTTGATATGTTTTATCCCTATTTTCTGAATCACGTGAGAGAGAATTGCACCTAACCCTAGGTTAACTACTGTTAGCTGCAAGGAAAGTGTAATTTTGGTAAATTAAGACTTTTAAACATTTTAGAAGTGAATTTGGCTTCCTTCACCCCTTTATAAATATCATTAATCTCAGCCACCCTGGTCGCATGAGCTTCTGTTATCTAAGCAGACACATGAAACGACAGTAGAAAAAGAGCAAATGGCGTATCCTGACTAGACCCTGCCAACAAACAAAATTCAGTTTTAAGTCTATATGTTATGGCACAGGGATTAGTCATCTTTAATAAAATTTAAAGAGCTGTAAAATTCTCCCCAATTGCAGCATGACCTCCAAAGGACAAATCTTGGGGCAAAATTCAAACAATAAGCATAATCAAGGTTTCTGATATTTTAAATTAATTTATCCATTAACCATTTATTGACTTAATTCTCCACATTGTGGAACTTAGGAGTTCTGTCATAGTACTTTTCATAGTTGCCAAACAGTTTAGGCAGTGGCAGAACTGGTAAATTTAGGGAAACCCAGAGTCTTTCTAATTTTACTTCCTAAAACTTTCAGACTTCTGAAATAACTCCTTTACCACATACTAAATACACTTAATACTTTTATTCCTTCTTCTTTCCATTTCCAACAGAATGCTTATTAAGACACTGTAAATTAATGTTATAACCCATGGTTCCAAAAAATGGGCAGCTTTAAGCCATCTTCACCAAATACCAGTTGTCAGCCAGCGTTGTGATTGGAGTCCCAGAGGGGCTCCTTGCATGTAGCATCGTGTGGTGGATGTAGGCATGATTGTCTCTGGCTCAAAGTTCAGTTTTATTGTGAAGGCCTAAGGCACAGGAATTCTCTGTCACTTATTAAAGGAAGGTACTCGGACAAGTGGATGAAAAGGCTGATTGATATTCTTGTAAGTTAGCAACAAAATCTACATTCTTGCCCTAAAGGAGACCCCTCCCTCCTGTCAGGGTGTCAGTGCATAGTGTAGGACTGTATGTATATATACACACACCATCAGTCAGTTAGCCATTTCCCCATCTTTAGACGTTTGGGATGCTTCCAGATCTTTTGGTTTTCTTTTGTTGTTCTGTTTTTCTTTTGTCCTCCTAAGTAATGTCCTTAGGACCTTCCCAAGAGTGGAATAATTAGGTTCAACAGCCTGGTTAATTTTATGAAGTTAGCGTGTTTTGCTAGCATATGCCCCAGAAAGAGTGGACTAATACATATGCAATGAACAATATATGGATGTATTTGCTGCCTGAAACCTGCCAATATTTGATTTAAAACTTTTAGATACTATTTTATTATTATATAGACATTTTAAATTTTCATGTATTTAACTACCGCCCCTAGACATCTTTTCCAAATACTTGTTTCATGGCTGTATTTCGCTTAGGGAGCTTCCTGTACATATCTTGGTAACAGCAGGAAAAGACTAATTTTATAGTACTGCAGGGGAAAGGTAGGTACGTGCTGGCTCATTTGCAAGAAAGTGCATGTTTAAGACCTCTAGTAAGACCTTCTCCTTGGATCAGGCTTTGTTAGATTAAGGGCCAATAAAGCTTACATAAATCTTCTGAAAAATTACTCTGTATTGTCAGTTATAGAGAATTGTTTAATTTCTTTTCTTTTTAAATTCCTTTTTCTTTTTTTTTCTTTTTTTTTTTTTAGGCTCTGGAATTACAAGCTCGGGTACTAAAACGTGTTCAGATGGAACAGCCAGACGCAGCTCCTGCGCAGAAACATTTAGCAGCTGAAATTTGTGCAGAGATAGCAAAACATTCTGTAGCTCAGCGAGACTGTGAAAAAGCAATCAAGTTTTACAGAGAGGCCCTTGTTCATCGGGAAACAGATAACAAGGTCATACCTTCGTAAAATTTTAAGCACCTTCTATTCCACATGTCATCTCATTTCCCCACATGTAAAATTCTTACCAGTTTATTTATAAAAAAAAGAAATTGACAGAAATATAAGTTAAAAGATCAATATTGTTTCTAGAAATCCTTCAAAACACATGATTAAACTTAATGTTTAAGTCCAAAAATTATGGAAGAAGTGATATAAAGTAAAAATGCAAGCTCTGTGTTGTTTTTTTTTTCAATATTCATCTGGGTCTTAATAGTTACTTGGAAACAATTTCTCAACCTCAAATAAATCTGGATCGAGATGATGCAGTTCAGTTTACTAAGGAGCTCTTGTACACGTCTTTATTTCAATTGCTGTTTGGTGCTGGATATTCAAAAGTAATGACATTGAATCTTACCTCACATGGCACAGCAGCAGAATAAACATAAAGATAATACTGGTGTAGAAAACTTAATATGTGCCTGCTTCTATAATTAAAATGTTATTACTTTCTCATCTTCATAGATGACTAAATATTTTTAAGAACACACTAATAAATGATGGGATACTTAATAAGTGATGTAGAACAAAAGACAACCATATGCTAGAATTTAAAGTTTAAGATGGAACATTTTCAGTTTTAAAGCTGAAGCATGCCTTAGAGATTATCTGCTTCAAGGTTTTTCTTTTCAAATGAAAAAACAGTTTGAGGTAATAGGGACCTGGCCCCATCATGGAGCGCGGGGACTACAGTCTAATCTCTCAATTTAAGATCAGTATTCTTTTCACAATGCTTTGTGTCTCTCTTCTTTTCAGTGTGTTACCACCTGATTTACCATTTTGTTCCAGTATAAGAGAAAATTGAAACAAGCTTGCCTGTAGTTTTCCTGCCTATCATCCTTGGCAGCTGAAATTTGTGCAATAACTTTTGGTCCCAGAAGTTTAAATCTGTGTCCAGACATTCTCCTCACTCCCTTCCTGTTTGTCTTGCCCTTCTCCTCTGTAGGTGATGCTGGAGCTGGCGCGGTTATACCTGGCACAGGACGACCCCGAGGCCTGCCTGCGACACTGTGCTCTCCTGCTCCAGAGCGACCAGGACAATGAGGCTGCCACCATGGTTGGTCCAAGAGACTTCTGTGCCATGGAGACAGTTGTGTTTTATATTCCATGTGGAACTTTCAGATTTTACTGGATAAAACTAATACTAGATGAGAGAGGGCTAGCTCATGTCAGCTTTTGGAAGGAATAATATTTTTAACAGTGTTAGCACATTTTGCCAATAAAGGCCAAGAATCTTTTTATTTTATAAGAATGGTAAACCTAAGTCAGGTCTTCCCTTGCCCTTTGGGGCCTAGTTAATTTTTCTTCATGCCTAAGAGGATGCGTGGTCAGGAGGAGTTCATGTGGTAAAGCTGTAATATGCTGAAGATGAACTTTTAAGTACTTACTCAGACATGCTGAACTACTACTTTAAAAGTTTCAGTGGGACTTCAGAGTCACAGGGACAAACTTCATGTATCATTCTTAGATGGTCTGTTTTACATAGTTTGGCCTCTCTTTTGCATTTTTACCTGGGTTGAGGTATGTATTAGTTTTCAAACAGCTACATAGATAATAGTTTGTGAGGTTCATTCAAAGTTGTTGTTATAACTAAAAAGAAATGTAAGAGGTCTCCCTTTTAAAACACACAATGGGACAATCTCAGGAGGTCTTATCTTAAATTCTGTTGAAATATTTAGGTTCGAAGTGTGCTTTTTTTTTTTTTAAGTCTTCTGGTTGTCATTTTAGGCCATCTTTTCTATGATAGCACATAAAATGTGCAATTCCTTTCAAATCTCTGTTTTTAAAATAACCACTTGAAACAATTTTTCTGCTAAAAATATAGTTTTGTGAACAGCGCTATCTATTGTACATCCTTGATTATCTTCCGTTAAACTGATCTTGATGCTATCTGCTTATGGTGTACCTTAATTTTAAATAGCTCCTTTTTATAAAATGTTGTCTTCTTTTTGTTTCTCATGTGTGTTCATAGCCCTTAATCCTGGTGGGAGGAATATGCTTTGTAAAATACATGGCACTATTTTTAGAACCAACTTTTACCTTTACAGATGATGGCAGATATCATGTTCAGAAAACAGGACTATGAACAAGCCGTGTTTCATTTACAACAGCTTTTAGAACGCAAACCAGGTAAACAGCCACTGGTTATCCTTGTAATGCAATCAAGTCCCTTTTTCCTCTTTTTGGTTATTATGCTCCTTGGAAGAACCCCAACCCTGGTCAAATCCAACTCTGCTTGCTTCCACACCTGCCCTTGAGCAGCCGCAATAGCTGCAAGGAAGACGCAGCACCGTGGGCTGGTCTCAGTCTAAATTAGGACCCCAGGCCCCTGCCTGACACTCCTACCATACAGTGAACTCACTCCAGCACTTTTTAGCCTTTCTCATCTCTCCTCAAACCTCCAGCACCCTTTCTGCCCTCGTCATCCTCATCTAAAACCCTGCCCCCTGCTTCCCTGAGAATATATGAGCACCTGGAAGGGAATACCTCTGCCCTCCCGTCATGCCGTCGCCTGCTCCCCACCGGGGGGGCCCTCCGCAGGCCCACGTCCCTTCCGCAGCCAGCTCCTCCCTGTGGGCGCTGGAAGCTGCTTTCACCTCCAGTCAGCGTTTCTCCTGCACCACCCCTGTTTTCCCAGGCAGCACACACACATGCTGTGACATCTCCCTGCTTTAAATTCCTCAGAAAATGCAAACTAACTCTAAATTCCCAATTACTCTTAACTTCCGGTGGCTGCTCAATTCCTCTGTTTTCCTTTACAGCAAATTTCCTCTGAAGAATCTCTGTATGTGCCTTCTTCATTTTGCCTCCTGCACTCCTGGACTCCTGCACCTGTGCAGCGTCCCCTCCGTGCTGCCGGCTCAGTGTTCCGTTCTCCGTTGTCTCCTCGCCGGCCTGTTGTATTGAGCACCGCTTCTCCCCACCTGCACGGGGAAGGGCTTTCTGCACTTGTCTTTGGGGTGCGGGGCTTACCTGGTTCTTCTTCTCCTAGCTGTCCACTCTTTAACTCTCATTTATAATTTATCTTCTCCTTTATGGCTTTTAAATATCAGAATATTTTAGATCTCAGTTTTTGAAACCTTTCTCTGTGTTTTTTATACATTCCCCCTGCTGGGTGACTTGATCAGGCCCGTGGCTCTGTGCTGTGTACACGCTCATGTCTCGGGGAGGTCCCTCTGCAGTCTGCCGCGCATGCGTCCCGGCCTGCTGCGCTCCCCCTCGGCTGTCCGGGAGTGTCTGCAGCTCGCCACGTCCTGAATAGAACACTCCATCTTCTCCTTCCCTCCAAGTCGGCTCCTTCTCCATTTCTCACATTAGTGAATGGCATCACCATTCAGTGTGAGGCCGCAGACCTTCCCAGCCGCCTTTGTCTCATCTTTCTGTCAGTTACCACGTCCAGGCCGTCAGCACGTCCATGCTGGTGCCACCTTGACAAGTATGTCTGGACTGCTGTCACTTTCCACCACCACTGCTGCCAGCACCCCCTAACCTCAGCCGTCCTCTCACGGAGATGATCGCAGGGGCCTCATCACCCTGTCTTTCTGTGCGTTGCCAGTAGGTAGCATACAAATACTTGGAGCTGAGAGAAGCAGACATTGGAAGGAAAAAATCCTGTTTTTATGGAAATGCCAACATTTCAGTTTCTTTTTCTGACGTTGTGAATTTTTCTCCTGCCTCTGGACTTCCTGGGGCCACCTTGTTTCCTGCCTGGGCATTTCCAGTTTAAATGCAGATGTTATTAGGGGGGTCACTGCAGTGACATCCTACTTCCTGTGCTCACTCTGAGGCCGAAATACAGCCCATCCCACACCTCAGTTCTCCAAGCCCCACTCTTACTTTCTTGAGGCTGAAGTCATTTTTTTCCTGCCATGTCTGCCTTGGATTCTAGGCTCTGCCTTGTCCCTTTCTCCTTCTCTGACTAGCACTTGAAGTTTGCATTCTGTGTGCCCCAAGTGGCCCCATGCTGTAGCATGTCCCTGTAAATGAATGAGTCAACCTGGGTTCTCTTTTAGAGACTCCTCTTGTGAATATTTCTAAGCCCCTGATGGCCGAATCGCCCTCACGTACATTTGAAGAAGCCCCTCATCCATCATATGACTTGTGTGTCACCCAGGTTCCTTGGCATCAGCAATTTTTCCAAGTAGATACTAGTAAAATTGACATAGTAGACTTGATGCTTTGGACTGTCTGTTCATAAACGAATATAAAAATGAGTCCTTTATAAATTCAGTGTAAGGACCTTGTACTCGAGAAATACCAAATGACGTACAACCACCCCTCCAGGTCTTCGGGTGTGTGTTTTTCCTTTTGCCTGTAATGCACTTTGCCTTCCTTATCCTTCCTTTCTGTCTTTCCCAGCACATAATCCAAAGTATACTCACTCTGTGCCAAAAGTAAAAATCTGCATCCCTACTGCCACCGCCTACATTGTAAGAGGCCTTATGTGATGCTGAGCACAGTGATCACCAACCTCGACTGCCCAAGACTGAAGGACCTCCTGGAATGCAGGACCTTCAATGCTGAACGAAAGACAGTCTCAGCAGACGGGGATGAGTTGGCCAGCCTCACCATGGATCACTTCAAACCTCTGTCACTTCTTCCAGGACTTACTGGAAATATTTACACACACACATATATTTATTTTTTTCTCTGTTAGCCTGAAAATTCCTCAATTTTCAGGGATCACATCATACTTTGTATCTCCAGCATCAGACACATTGCCAGGCACATAGATGATGCAGAGTAAATGGTTTATTGGCTGAATAAATTAACCAATATGAAATACCAAGTCCCTTAAAAATAGAAAAATTTAAGTAAGTTTTTATGGTTTATGTGCTGTTCTATGTTTAATCTTGCATTCTATGCTTTATTCCAAATAGGACTTTACAGTTTATCCACAGATCTATTTTTTCCAAATTATTCTAAAACTATGCATCTACATTCACTTTATGTGTACGTTACAGGTCATCTTTATACTTTAAATGAAGGCTGTGTTTTAGCTTACTTCAGAATTGTACTAGTTTGACTTAACCTCGCTAGTAGAAAATTCTTCTTACAGATCTAATTGCTGATCTCTTGACAAATTACGCCTTTTCTGTCTTGAAATCTCCAAATCAAATCTGAGTTCTCGACCTTTCCCTCACACTAACAAGTGCTATCGTCTGTCTGCTTAATAGCTAGCTATCGCATCCCGTCTATCTTCTCCTAGCCTACTGCTCTGATTAAGATTTCTGTCTCCGCTCCCCAGACTAGTGCAGTTTCCCAACTAATCATCTAGCCTCTAGATTCTTGCTGCCCCACACCGTCATAGGACTGTCAAAGGACTAAAAACCAAAAGCTATCCCTTTGCTTAAAATTTAGGATGGCACTCCAAGGGAAAGTCTAAAATCATAGCATATTTTGATAATAATGTGGCCCCAGATTATCCTTCCATGTGTATTTCTTACCCCTCTTCCTCCATTTTAATATCTAATAACAGTGAGCTCTCCAGCATGCCCGTTACTCTTCTCAGCTCTGTCTCTGCACATGCCATCTGCCGCTGGTAACGCTTCTGCCTGTCTAGCAAGATCCTCCTGACCTTCAGTCTGCTTAGAGGTCTGATCGATCCTACGTGAAACCTTCCTGCCTCCCCTAGGCCAAGTTAGGACTTCTGTGCACCAGACTCCATAGCACTTCATTCATGCTGCATCACATCATAATATAATTATTTTGGTATCTTCTCATCCGCCAATAAATATGGACTAGGTTTTTTTCAGAATGTAGTACATTTCAGTTTTCAACAGATTCTTTAAGTGCAGAAGCTTGCCTGCTGTCAGATTTTACGGTTATCCAAAAGACAGGTTACAGCACTTTGATCTACCTGTGGTAATTCTAATTTGAATCTAATAATGAATACATTTCAGTAATACTGTAAGGTGGTAATTTTTCAAAAAACTGGCCTACCAAGGTTGACTTCAGATAATATTAGCAATATAATTCATCACACATATTAGCAAAATCATACAAACAAATTTTGGCCATAAATTTTAACCTTCGCTTTCTTACCTAATCCTGCCTTATCCACTATAGGTTCTAGATTCTGTGACTTCATTATAGGGTAGTCATTCTACTTTTTATCAGAACTGTTGCAGTTGTAAATATTAGTAATGAAATGTGTAATTTTAAAGCTATTTCTTGCCTTTATCTTAGTTGATTTTCACAATATTCTCTCAGGGTCAATATTATCCTATTTTAAGAGGTTGAATAATACTCCCTTGTATGTACATACCACAGTTTGTTTATTCATTCATCTGTTGATGGACATCTGGCTTTTTCCCACCTTCGGCTATTGTGAGTAATGCTGCTGTGAACACTGGTGTTCACGTATCTGTTTGAGTCCCTGCTTTCAGTTCCATCAGTGGAATTGCTGAATCTTTTTTCTTGGAATACAGAATCAAGGATAAATTGGTGCAGAAAGTCTTTGTTTATGCATTTTAAGTCTAAGTCACCCTACAAAAGAGATCAGAATAGCTTATATAACAAGGATTTTTACAAATCTACTAAGAGCCCTGTGCTAACTGAAACTTGAAAGCCCAAACACCTAAAAAATACAACTACAGAAAAATAAAATATGAGCCATCAACATAATGGACTATTATACAGCCATTAAAATCATTTAATGACAATTGGGAAATGTTTACTGTATAATGTTGAATCAAAATCAAAATCCATAGTGTGACTTCAACTTTATATATTTATGTATATATATACATACCAAGAAACATACTTATTTGCTTATATTTAAATATTCATAGATTGATTTTTTTCACTCATAAATATATGAAAGGAAACATACCAACATGTAATCTCTAGCTATTGGAAATATGAATAATTTTTGTCTTATATTTTTCTATATTCTTCCCAGTTTTCTAAAGTGTCCACTATTTTTATGATCTTAAGAAATAACTTATTAAATTACTGTCAAAACTTAGTATTTTAGTGATAAGAAGGAATTGGATAGAATTGGGAGAGGAGGGCTTTCTAGGAACCTGCCAGTAAATTATACCTGAGGCCAAAGAAATATATTAATTCTTTTTCCTTAGAAAGTAAAATAGAGGATTAAAATGCTGGGACTAATATGTTAAGGTTACATTATGGTAACCTAGTGTCTAGTATATTAGGTACATACACATGTTAAAAAAGTCTAGACTCAAATTTCTAATTGCCCACTTCAAACATTATCATCAAAATGCACCATTCTTACCCCCTCCCTACCTGTATTTAGTGGGAAAGGAGGTCTCAGAAAGAGACTTGCCCTGTGTAACCAAAGCAGTCCACCTGAATTTTACAGTTAGAGTTTAGATCATCTACACAAAGACTTTCTCCCAGGAGTGACTGAAAAGTCAGGTTACAACAAATGTACATTTTTATGAATTTGCCTTTGCAGAACTTTCTGTCACTGACTAGACACCTCCCCAGCCTCTGTCCTATGGTAGAGCATTCAGTTGTCCACACAACCTCTTTAGGGATTTAGAACTCCTAAGGCACTCCTTTGCATAACTATAAATCGGACTTGATTTGAAGTAAACTATACTGGAATGAAGTAAGATTAGAACCTCCAAAACAAAAAAAATGTGGTCCATATGTGAACTCTTCTTTGTTTCCAGATAACTATATGACGTTCTCTCGTTTAATTGATCTCCTAAGAAGATGTGGGAAACTTGAGGATGTCCCAAGGTTTTTCGTAATGGCTGAGAAACGTGACTCCAGAGCAAAATCGGAGCCGGGGTTTCAGTACTGTAAAGGACTGTATCTTTGGTAAGTCTATTGGCAGATAAATCCTGCATAAAGCTTTTTTCCCATTATGGAAAGTAGAATAAACTTTTTGTTCTAAAGTACATCTACACTTTAAAATATATTGATAATTTTATTTACCAAACAGATGATAAATGACTTAACAGTTTGTAGTAAGTGATCGGAGTAAGTGATTTTTTTTTTACATCTAACAAGGCATACTGGAGAGCCAAATGATGCCCTTCGACATTTTAATAAAGCTCGAAAAGACAGTGACTGGGGCCAGAATGCCCTTTACAATATGATAGAAATCTGTTTGAATCCAGATAATGAAACTGTTGGAGGCGAAGTATTTGAAAATCTGGAAGGAGACCTGGGGTGAGTAGTGTTTGACAAATTATCTCTTTTTTTGATAAGCAAGGATAACTTCTAAAAAACTAAATTCTAGGATGGCACTAATGAAAAGTCATGAAAAAAATCAAAAATTCTTTTCATTTGTTCCCTAGAATAACTGTCCTCTGAAACAAGCACAAAATGCTTTTAGGTTTCCTACATTGGAACAAGCATTTAGGGAGACACTTTCCTAATTGCTCTATAAAAAAATAGGATAAATTTTTTAATTTGATTTCTTTGGCAAAAATTGTCTACACAATAATAGTAACTCCTTAACAAACAATAGTTATATGCCATCCCGTGTGCTTTATACTTTATGTGCAGGGTCTTATTTATTTTCTGCAACACTATTGTGCAATAAGCTCAGAATTAACTTGCCTAATGTGGTAGAGTTATTAAGTCGTGGAGGCAAGATTCGGACTGAGCTCTACCTGCCATCAGAGTTCCTGCTGTTAGTTACTGTGGTGTGCTCCTGGTAAATGGTAATATTTCTACCAACCTGTGGTTACTGCTTGTCTTCACAGAATTGGGCAAGGCATGGTAGGGTACAGTGCTGAAGGATGGAAGTGTATATGGTTGTAAGAGGTAGTTTCTGCTTTGAGGAGCATGTGATTTACTTGGGAGGCAGGACAATGTCTGCTGAAACTGTTCAGTCTCTGACAAAAAACAGAAATGGGTTAAATAGATATTAAGTGTTGGAAGAATTCATAGAAATCTCAGCAGTGCAAAGTTGTCAGGAGATGTGTAGAGAAAGAACCGGATTGCTGAGAGGTTTCAGTGTCCGGTTTAAAGGGTTGGATTATAGAAACCACTGAAGTTTTACAACAGGGGAGAGGCATGTTTATTTTATGTTTGTTGTAGAAAGGTTAAGGCAACATACTATTATGCAACTATAGGTTATCCCTGTGGAAATCTTCAGCAAGTAGCTGAAAATACGAAACTAGACCTCAGAAGGGAAGCCACAGGTGGAGATACAGGTTTGGGAGACGTGCTCAGAGTGGATTGTTGGGATGCCATGAATGTAGGAACTGAAGTTTGAAAACTAAATTTGGGGCATGGTAACACTTTAAGGGGATTGGAAGAGGAAGAGAAGTCAGGAAAGGGCATTCACCGTTGTGGGAAGAGAACCCAAACTGTGTAATGTTACAGAAGGGAAAGGAGGGGAAATTCACAGAAGGTAACCAGCAACGGGGAATGTTTTAGAGAAGAAAAACGCCTAACTGAGGCCTGAGCAGACCAATAGCTTTAGTATTTGGGCTTTGAGAATTTAATTCCCTTTTCATATTCAGATGGTTATTGCACTTGAAGTTTGTAATCTTTTGACAGATACATAATTTTGGTACACAGTAGGTACTTTCACAAGGGTAGTTACTTTTCACTCCCTCCTTTCTTGTTTTTCCTTTTCTGAATAGAAACACCACGTGATGATTATCTGAATCTACTTATCCTGAATTCTAGTGTCTAGTAGTTGAAACAGTTACTGCATGTATAGATATTGTCTACTTTTTGTCTTCAATCCTAAGTGAATAAAGATTTAATGGTATTTTATTGAAGCACTATTGATTTTGTTTAAATATAATGCATTGTAACTGTGTTTTGTGCTAGAAGAGAATGAGTGACAATCTTCAGAGGGCTTGCTTTAAAATTGGTGACAAAAAGGGAGCCTATGTACTCTAGAGCGCATTCTAATCTCCATGAATTTTACTTATGAGTAACAGACATAAGAGATTTATTTTTAATTGTATACAGTAATTCACCTGAGAAGCAAGAGTCTGTGCAATTAGCAGTGAGAACAGCAGAAAAACTCCTTAAAGAACTAAAACCTCAGACTGTTGAGGGTCATGTACAACTTCGCATAATGGAAAACTATTGCCTATTGGCTACCAAACAGAAATCTAACGTTGAGCAGGCGCTGAATACCTTCACTGAAATAGCAATGTCTGAGGTTAGTAGGTTTTCAACTTTACATGTTATCTTTCCTTGTTATATAGAGATATGCATTTTGATTCATTGTTTGAAGATTGACTTAATTACTATTATTAAATAATTAGATAAAGAGCTTGGCGTAATTTCACATAGTGTACCTTTCTTTCCAGAAAAGACACTGTAACTATTTTGCTATGTTGTTTATGTATTTATCAAGCTGTTAGAATGGTGAATTCTAGAGAAAGGAAATTCTTCAAAAAGGCATAAATTAATTCTCAAACTAATGGCTTTATCCTCTGGAGAATTTATGTGTTGTAGACATAGCATAGGTTAATTTCTTAAGTGGAAATAAACACCTCGCTGCCTTGATAGCTCACCCTTTCTCTTTATGTGAACTTGAAATTTTTCCAACCCTAGGGCTAAGATCAATGCTGACAGCTTATAATCCAGTCATGCAAATAATGGTGGTGTTCTATAGCAACACTGAAGTAACCCCCTGCAACAATACTAATATTAATACTAAAGCCACTCATCATAATAATAGATAAAGGCTTTCTCCTCTTTTTAACCTTACTCAGATGTGCCTCCCTTATGTTTCTTCAATTACTTGGTATTAAGGAAGGACTTCTAGGCACCCACCCCAGCAGTTGGTAATAGCTACTTGTAGGCACACTCATTGGATCTCGTGTGTTCCAGTCAGCAATGTTGTAGGCCACCAGAAACTTGTAATTCCATGTCTCTGAGAGGGTATACGGAATTCTGTTGTGTTTTCTTGTGGTTCAGAGGTCACAGTGGTACCCAAAGTACCCTACAGTCGCCCTTTCCCCTTGCTTTGCTCCCAGGACCTCAGGGGGCTTTGGGAAACCTACAGCTGCTGCTGGCATTTGAGTACAAAAATCCTAGCTGGTGCTCTGTTACCCCTGTAAGCCGCCCTGGGAGCCAAACAGCACGGTAACACGAGAGCAGGAACACCGCAGCGCGGAGCCCTTCCGACAGTGGAGCCGTGTTCTCGGGGCCTGTGCTCAGTGGATTGGGCTGTGTGGCAGCAGGTGGATGACAGTGGTGGGCTGAACAGAGACCAGAAGTAAGACTATCATAGAAGTCTAAGAAAAATCTGTACAGTTTTGGTGAGGCACTGTTCAAGAGAAGGCGTCCTAGCTACTGAGTGCTGTGAGGTGGCCTCCCACCCTGGAACGGGACTTGAGATTGCGAAGTGTGAGGGAATTGCCCAGAGTGGTGAGTGACATCACAGCTGGCTGCTAGACTGTGTCAGTTTTTGTGCTGGTGAGACTGCATAATTTTATCATTCCTGCATATGTGTTTAGTAATATACTATTCCTCAGGTCTCTTTGCTGACCGTATTGTCGAAAGACTGATTATGAACTGAAATTTCAGGAACAATGCACTTTTTCTTGCATTTTTCTCTTTTAATTCATAGGCTGTATATATTAAATACAATGAATATTCATTAAGCAGCCAGTAGAATCTAAGCACACTGCAAATCACAAAGATAAGCTGTGTATAGTTCTGTCTTCCAGTTTCTCATAATCCAGGGAAGATAAAAGGCAGGCATACTGTGTACAAAGCAAAATCTCTCCTCGAGTTGCAGATAAAAGTGCTGTAGGGACAGGACAAGGGGAATTGGGAGACCCTTTTGTGGAGAAGAACCAGGATAAATTGGGTTTTCACAGGCACAAATGGAGAAAATAATCCTAGATGAAGGAGAAAATACGAACAAAGGCAAGAGGCAGGGAAGCATCGGGTATGTTCACAGCAATATGTGGCATTCAGGTTGATTGAAAAAGAGGTCTATGACAGGAAGTCATGGGAGGAAATGTAGGAGATACACTAAACCCAGACAAAATGTTTCCACTTGCTTTCATCCTGTCACCTTCTACCGTAAAGGTGTGTTGTTTATAATATAGCTGTGTTGTCCTTCATGATCTAAAGTCTTTGCAGCTTCGAATGACAGGGAGTGAGAGAGAAAAGCTGAGGGAACACGTTGGGGCAGCTGCACCAGAAGGACACCACAGGGCTGAGGCAGGGGGTCAGAACTCGGGTTTGCAGGTGTAGAAACTCCCCTTCGGTTCCCTCAGGAGTGAGCAAGCTGTGCGGAGTTGATTCATTCTAATCATGCTCAAGGTGTGTGATTTTCAAAACCAGAGAGCTTATTTTTAATGTAGAGCATGGAATATTTTTAGTATGTGAATAGGCCTCAACATTTCACAGTGCCAGTTCTCAGGCCGTCCTAGGACCTTCTGACAAATACAGAACAAATGTGTTTTCTTCTCTTCCTGGGGTGGAGGTGGGACTCAGTAATTAATAGTATCTCATTCAAGTCTCCAAAATCTAAGCCAATTGGATTTGGCACTCAACCTTTTCGTCATCCCTTTATTAGGAAAACAAATTAATACTGGATGTTTATTCATAGGCAAAGAATTAGAGCTAAGGGAGTCTTATATTCCTGAAAAGTGTGTTGATGAGCTCTGATGAATGTCCTTTGCTATTCCAGGGTCTTTACTGACTTTCAGCCATGGTCAGTGTTGAACATTAAGCCTTGTAACGCTCTCCTCCCCTTTTGCAGGATTCTTTGTTGGGTGCCCGAACTTGCTGTCTGTCTTGCAGTGTGACTTTATTACAATCACGGCACTATAATTTCTGAATCACAGCTTCTTATCTTTGTATTTTAAACTGAAGCCTTCTGCTTTATAAAATCATCACTATCCCTCTGCTGAAATTTAAAAAGCCACCTTAGCTTGATCAGGCACCTAAACATACTGCTTAGTAAGTTGGTTTCTGGATAGATCATTGACAGCTTCCATTTTTTATCAATTCTTATTAATCTGTTGGTTTCACAGAGGGACATTTACTGACTTTGAACTCCATCTAAAAGAACATCCTGTTTTATGGACAACATCAAAAGCTGCAGACTCCGAATCTCAAAGCATATTTTAAGGCATAAGTTTATTTCATATAATTTCCAAGTGGTTAAGTAATTGCATGCCTTATTTATAACATTCCATTGGTCAAACTTTATTTGGAGAAAAGGCTTTTGAATAAAATGAGAATGGGGAGGAAAAGAGCACTACAAGTCAGCGTAGACAAGGAGTATCATTTGCAGGTAAATCACTGTTGTCATCCCTGTTTCACAAGTGAAAGAACTAAGGAGCCAAAACGCTAAATCGGAAACACAAATGTTCACTTAGGATTACACCGAAATGGAACTTTATTTTTCCTGTTTCTATACAAAACCCAAACGGCCAGCCAGTCCCACTAACGGCAGAGCCACCCTGATGGTCTGGAATTCTGTGGCAATGGCATCTTCTCATTTGCTGAATTATCTGACCCCAAGGTACCTGACCAGGCCTCTTCACGGCAGCCCGGGGTTACGTGACATGTTGGTTCAGTAAGGACCGGACTTCAGTTCCCTGTGGAGCCAGAAACAGAGTCCACGGGCCAGTTCTTAGATCATCATGTTCCCTTGCTCCTTTCTCTGTTTCTTTTTAAACATAGGGTATTTGTGTTTGTATATCTGGGGGCCTAAAGGTTTGCTTCCTCACAGAAGGACCATATTCCAGCACTTTTGGGAATGGCAACAGCTTACATGATCTTGAAACAGACGCCAAAAGCCAGAAACCAGCTGAAGCGTATCGCGAAAATGAGCTGGAACGCTGCTGATGCCGAGGACTTTGAGAAGAGTTGGCTGCTCCTTGCTGATATTTATATCCAATCAGCAAAATACGACATGGCAGAAGAACTCCTAAAACGCTGCCTGCGCCATAACAGGGTAGGTGCCTGGAGAGTCAAAATGAATCGTTGACCTTTGTTGTGGAAGCCTTCTACAGTAGGCTGTTACAGAGTAGTGGTCCATTTCTAACGATTTTTGGGTGTTTTTTTGAAAATTAAATGTTTATTCTTACCACAATCAAGAAATTAACAATAGTAAGAAAGAAGCAGTTTGCCCTTCAAAGTAAAGAAAAATAGAGATTATGCAGTTTCAGGTTTCAGCTGTAGTTGTGCCCTACATACAGGGAGTATTTTCAGAATGTCAAGCATTTACCTGTGATTATCCATCTCATTCCAGAACTGATGGAAATTGCAAAAGAACCTTAATTGTGGACGTCTGTCCCTCCTATTAAGAAATACTCTTAATGAATTTACTGCAGCTGCATGTCATTTCCATATTATTAGAATCCACTATGCATACCATATTTTGTGGGGAAAGTCTTTTCAGAATTTAATTTGATTTGTTTAATAAAAAGTCCTTACCTTTAGGTATAAAATTGAAAATCTTGAAGTCCTTAAAATTCAAAGCTTCTTAGTAACAGGGCATTTTCATGTTCAATCACAAAAAAAAATGGATGTCTCACCACATTTTTTTATGTTTAGAATGTATTACTATTGAGAAATAATGGTACTCAACTTAGAAACATAAGGATATTCATCTTTACAGATTCATATCAGTTACTGCAATATCTTAATTACATTAAATCTATGTGTTCTCTTTGAGCAAATTAGATTACAAAATGGATAATTTGTTTTTTAAAGAGGAGTTATTTATGATCAAATATGATTAAGTTATTTTCTTAGGAACTTTAAAAATCTGAAACATCAGTCCATTTACCAGTTTATAGTCTATACATCTAATTTTAAGCTAAAGTGACCTTGAAAAGCAGAGCATACTTATCAGGAGGCTTTAGAAAATCTTAAAACTGTCAAGTGGCTGACCCTTATATACCTAGTATAGGATTTAGCGAGAAGACACAGGACTGAAGGTTTTGGTGCTGATAGAACTGCAGTTTGCCGGAATGCTGACAGCAGTGTGTTGCGTGATTAAACCTGATGGCTACCTTAGAGGCGTCAGCCCGGCTAACTAGGCATGTCAGTACTGGAAGCATGAGATTCAGGGTGTAGAAACTTTAGCATTACATTACAAAACATGGGGATCATCCAGATCTGGGGCAGAAAGGGACAGGATGACTCTAGACCATCTCGTCATCCCAGGTGGCAAGGAGGCTATCGAAGAAGACGAGAGGCATGTCAAGGACACGGGAACCAACTTGAAGACACTCCCAGTAGCCAAAGTTGGGCACTTTAAATATTAATAAAAATAATAACTGCAGTGGACTGAAACACACCAAATTATGTTTAAATCCGTGAGTTTAAAAAGATCCAAAAAAGAAAAAGGAGAGAACGCTTAACTCATCACCACTGAAATGTGCTAATGAAATAATGAACTATTATTTCTAAAGCTGGCGAATAAAGAAAAAGAATAATAAAGGAAAAGAAAAGGCATTTATCCCACCTTTTCTGTATGAACTATGCTAGTGGGTAACAAAATAGTAGAAAAGGAGATATTTTCCAGCTAATAAATGAAGAAAGATTAACTGTCACCGTTTCCAACCCTGATAAATTAATAAATGGTTATAACATCATGGAAAGACAGTCAGGTGTGTGCCTCCTGAGGGAAGAACATACAGTCATCTAACACGGGGCCAGGCTTGGGGGAGGCGAGTGGAACCTCAGGTCCAAAATTTAAAGGCAAACTTAAATCCTCAGTGATTATCTTAGTCAGCCTGTGCTGGTCTAACAAAGTACCACAGACTGGGTAGTACACAGACCACAGAGGTTTATTTCTCACAGTTTCGGAGTCTGGAAGCCTAAGATCGGGGGCTGGCATGGCGGGGTTCTCATGAGAGCCCTCTTCTGGGTTGCCCCCCACCAACCTGTGTCCTCACCTGGCTCCCTGGGGCCCTTTGATACTGGCACTACTCCCATTCATGAGGAGCGTGACCTGGTCAGCCCCCCAGGACCTCACCTCCTAATGCCAACACACTGGAGATTAGGGTTTCAGCATAGGAATTTGGGGGGGACACAAACGGTCAGTCCATTGTAGTAATCAAGATAAATAATAATTTAGTGTAATTTTTTTTTTTTTAATCAGAATGTCAAAGTGTTAAAAAGACAGGATTTGACAGTGCTGCGCTGAGCTCTATTGAAGCCCGATGCAAAGGGGAAAATATTCACATGGATTTTTTAATGGGTGGGGGTCTTAATAAAAATTATATTGATGTATTTTCTTCCATGAAAGTCAGGAAAGTAAAATTGTAGTAGATTTTGTTTGGGTATAAATAAAATATTCAAATTTAAAATAATGAGACTTTTAATATATCTACTTTTCAGTTTTTCAATTTTTAAATTAGTGTTCAGGGAAAAATAATTTAAAAATACACAGAAAGATGTGTTGCACATTTTTCCTTTGGCCTCAGGCCCCAGTGTGGCTCAGCAGGGCACTGACCTACGACTTGAGAGACATTTCAGCCAGTCACGTATGTGGGCCTTATTTGGACCCTCATCCTGACAAACTAAAATTTTTTTAAAATTCATTTTTAGACAATTTGAAATTTGAATAGTGACTGGATATTTAGGGATATCAAGTAGTTATTAACATTTTAGGTGTGATAAGTTGTGGTTATGTTTAAAAGTAAGTCCTTCTTTTTCAAGAGCGTACTAAACCATGAATGAAATGATACACTATCTGAAGATTTTTGTATCTGATAATACAGAAGGCCAAGTGTGTGGGGTAGAGGTAAAACTACTAGTTATGATTTAATTGTTATGAAGATAATGGGCTCGTGGGGTTCCATTTACTGTTATTTCTATATTTATATGTGTTGAGACTGTAATAAAAAGAGTGCATGTCTATATATAAAATATACATTCCCTTGACTCTTACCAAAAATCCTGATTCTGCAGGGTTGGGGTGGAAGCTTGGCATCAGAATCTTTTATGAAGTCCTGTATGATTTCATTGCTTAGCCACAGTTGAAGGCCATTGTTTTATGTGCCATTTCAAAATGAGTTAATATAGGTGACCACTGCAGCCATAAGCACTCCATAAAATCTTAGTGGTATCAAGCTTAATCTATTGATGTATCTTTCATTCTTGCTTCATAAGTCTTGCTGCAAAGCCTACGAATATATGGGATACATTATGGAGAAAGAGCAGGCATATACAGATGCTGCCTTCAACTATGAGATGGCCTGGAAGCACGGCAGTCAGACAAATCCAGCGGTAGGTGAGTATAACAAATGAGACCAGGTTTTCACAGGAAACTTGGGCTTTATTTGTAAATCTTCATTTAAATGCATTTGATTATCTTTTTAGGAACAAAATAGACACTAAGAGCCAACTTCTTTTGTCAAGTCCTTCTGAAAAATAAATTTTATATTCATAGTAGATTATTGGCTACTGACAGTTATGAAGTATAGTTTCCTGAGATTCAAACTTGTCCTCCCTCAGTCACCTTAGACAACATCTAATCTAATGCTGCCTCTTTCTCTGCCCTTCACCCTCTGCCATTTCCAAAGTGGTAAAGCTGTGGGAACAAGGCCCCATTGTCAAGTCCCTAGGAAAACACTGCAATAAATTGCGTTCTGTGGGTTCTTCACTGGGAATCCCTCAGTGCCTTTGAACCCTAGTGTATGTTGTGATGGGTATCACAGAGGGATGTGCTTCCCACTGTGATTTGACCATGGAGCATTTTTTTTTCCTTACCATCTTGAAACATCATCTTGTTCCAAGTGGCAGGCTGTTCATTTGAGGAATTCAAGTCTCCAGTGTCCCTGACAGATGGGCAGCCTCCAGAGGACTGTAGCTTTGGTGACTAGCGTCACCGCACGCTGTGAGGAAGCGCGTCCCTGTGCTCCTCTCTCCCTTTGCATTGAGCTAAAATGTGCTTCGTTGAAGCCGCTCAGGTCTGCTCTGTGGCGCAGCCCAGGGAGTCCCCCCTCCTCAGGGTGTGGCCCTCCCGCCGCAGACTTCTGTCGTGTGTGTCCTCAGGCTGCTCTTCAGACACTCCCGTTACTGGCCCTTCCTGAGGTCTGCTGCCAAGGCTTCCCCCTTGGAAACTCCACATCCTGTTTCCCAAACTGCTTTGGAGTATTTGGTGAGATACTAATAGTTATTTCTTTAAAAAAGAGAGAGAAGTTGAATATGGGGAGATTAGATTCCGTGGCTAAATAAGTATAAGTTAAGACTAATTGTATGTGTAAGAACACTATTTTTGATCAAGCATTTAGTAGTTGTTAATTCAGCCTCAGATGGCAGCAGTCCTTTTCCGTGTGAGGGTATGGCCTCAGATTTACCTTCCAGTCAGGTGGGTCATCTTTACACTAACTGCTTCAGTTCAGGATTTTCCCCACCTTGTGTTTTCTGGGGTCTTTTATTTTTCTAGACTTGCGTAGAGCATTGGAACTCATATTTGTTGATAGTATTTTCCTTCTCAGATACTGTGCATCTTACGAGAATAAAATCAGTTTGTAAAATGAAGACTTTATTCCGCAGAAGGAATGCATTTAGAAGTTAAATTATTTAAATATTCTGTTTCTTGGGAGACCTTAGCAGATACAGAGATTCCAACTATTGGTTGTTTCGTTGTGTCATCTTTGAATTATTTTGTAGTTGCTTTTTATCAGTTCCTCTACTTTCTCCTTAGACAGTTTTCCTGGAGACGGTCATTCATTCTTTAGTTTCTTCTGTAGGAATGTCACTGCATCCAGACGCCCCAGCCAGCCTGACCAAGTTAACAATGAATTTCTCTTTCTCAGTGGTCAGGGAATGCTTGAAATCCTGGGTGTGTTCTTCCCACAGGATTCAAGCCTGAGTGTTGTCACAATGAAAGGCACCAGGAACTGAGAGCCAGTGGGAGAAGAACTCACGCGAGTTTCTCCCTGCGCTCCCATTCTCAGGGTGCCTGGCTGTCGCTGGACTGTTTCGCATCATTTGTATTCTCTCTTTACCCTCTGCTTCTCTCCCATTTTTCCCCCTGATGGTATAGAGTCAAAGTCTTAAAAGCTTGACAGGTATAATGCAGCTGCAGTGCCCATGTTCGGTGCCATTTCTAGCCCTCTTTTTGCTCTATGAAAGTTTTTAAGTAAAGTAATCTGTCAGGTTTCTTCCGACATTAAAACTTAGTGCTTCTATTTAGTGTTTGTCAAGAAAAAATGCTAATATACGTGTTGTGCTTGAAAAGTTCTTGAAGCATTTCACAACAGGTATGTCTTCTGATCTTTAAAATTGCATCAAGAGCTAGAGAGGTTATTATCTCCATATTTTGGATGAGGAAAGGAAATTGACAGCTCAAGACACTCCGGACACTAAGCTGAGGTCTCAAAGCTAGTCAGAAAGCCAGAAACCAAAACTTACATCCAAGTATTTTGGCTCTAGTTTCCATGTAAAGTATATTTGGCGTGACATCCTTTTTAAATGTCACAAACTCTATTTGTGCATTTTAGAATTCCTTTTTAATGTTACCAAGTTTACCACTCTGAAGCTTCGTGTTTTCATCTCTGACAGTTCTGTATGTATGTTTGTGTGTGTATATATCAAGTACTATGAATTCTAGATAATTCCTATTTCTTATTTTTTACTACCATATGATTATATTATCCAGTAATTGTTTTCAAACATTTGTTTGAAAGTTTAAAGTTTTTGTTTTGGTACTTTGATTAGAGCCCAAGAGCAGCATTTGAATTTCCCTACTTCACATATCTAAGAGGTAAAATGAAGTCTTTAATTTATTAACTTTACATCATGCTATATCATATCTATCGAATACATTTCCACCATTACTTTTCTCACCTTCTCCGTAGTTTGCTAACTCCCACAGCATTCTTACAGGAAAACAGCAGTCATTTGAGAACGTCTTAAAACTTTCTTCTAAGTTGCCGCTATGTGAACATGACACTCCTGTATTAGTCATTGTGGTAACTGTTACTCATCGCCGTCGCCGAGTGTCCGGCGACCACGCCCCTCTCTCCGGGCGCTGGCCTGCCTGCCCCGCCCTCTCACGATGCACTCCCGGCCCTTGGCCCCTGTGGGCCCTCCTGCCGCCGGCCTTCCCACGCGCGTTCCTTCTGCCCGAAGGACCTCTTGCCCCTCACCCTGCTGGCCCAGTGTGCGCCTCATCCTTCAGACTTCCAGTATCGCCTGACACCCACCCCTCCCCAGCCAGGTTTCTTATTATAGCTCTCTTGGCCTCTACTCTTCTTTCATAGCATTTATCTCGGTTTTGAAACTATTCATTTACTTAACATAATTATATAAATTACCTAATTACATAAATAATCTACTTTCTTCCCTAGTAGAATGTAAGCCTTGTAACTGTACGAACCAGTTCGCCTGATGGGTTAAGTGCTGAGTAAATCTATACCATATAAATGAATAGGTGTCACCACTGAGTATTTACTACAGTCTGAAATACAAGGCTTTTCTAGTTACAAAAAGTCCACTTGAGGACGGCGGTCCTCTGACCAACAGCGCAGTCACTGTGGACCTTTGTTCCGGCTCCATCCTCTTCCTACCCGTTCCCCTTTCTGGCCGCTTGGCCTTCTATTTTCTCATCATTTCTCCCATCTTAGTGCACTCACCAGCCTCTGGTAAGAGTTCTCTAATGAGTAAGCAAACAAAGGGAAAGGCGAAAAAAAAAAGTTAAGGGAGGCAGTGTGCTCTATAAATGCTACTATACCATTATGGTTCTTTGTCTTCACAGGATACAAACTGGCATTTAATTACTTAAAAGCAAAAAAATATGTGGATGCAATTGACATATGTCATCAGGTAATACTTCATATTTCTTAAAATTATTCAGATGCACAATTTCCTACTTTGAACAAATCTCAAGATGTACATGAATAGAGGTAGAAGATGTAGCATTTTAGTTAAATGACTTAGCAAATACATTCAGGAGGGGTTATCAGTTTTTGAAACTTAGGAAAGTTGATTTAAACATATGCTTATTTAGGACTCAAATAATAAAATGTTTATGTCAATTTAAAGACAAGGGCTAGAGGAGAAGCGTGTTACATAGAACTGCATCTTTAAGTCAGAAGATGTTTGAGGATTGTTACAGATTTTCCAAGCCATTATTCTGAGTAGGAGTTCTGGTGAATGTGTCTAAGTTTGGTTATTAAAGAATTCAGATTTATAAATTAGAGGTAAAAGATATTTCTGTAATTTAGAAGTCATCCAATTTTTGTAGTTGACCTCCATCTAAATACCTCACTAAGATGTGACATACTTATGTTACAGTTTTAAAATATATATCTCCTTTGATTTTCCGTGCAAAGCATTATGTAAAACATTGTTAAGAGCACCAAGAAAAGCTCTTAGGAAAGAATTATGTAATGTCTCCTATCCCAGATGGCTGTATCAGCATCATTATAGTAAATACTTGGCCTCGGTGATCACTATTGATTACTGAGTTGCCCTGCTGTAAGAGTATTTCACATTAAGGTTAAGGCTGTACATTGATGCAAGATTATACATTAGAATTATTGGTAGAGGGTTTTTTTTAAATTAGTATCTCCCCACTTGTAGATTCAGGAGATTTGGAAATCTGTGTTTCAAAATCACTCTAGGTAAATCTGATGTGTGCTCTTGGTTAAAAATAACTCTCTAAGAGTTTATTAAATGTCATGTATAAATAACCAAATTTAAAAATACTTTAAATTATTGATACATAATTGTTTTCTGCAATTAATCTATTAAGAAGTAATTGTATTTTCTATAAGTTGTACTCATATTCTGTTTCCCTATAATTATTATTAATGGAAATGAGTCATTATGTCGTGGCTCAGATGTCATCTTTAAGATGTGTTGTATTTGTAGTATTTAGACAATGAAATCTCCTCTGTAATGCTCATTTCTAGGAAGTTTTGTAGCTCTCTGCTTCTTGATAATTAATTACAAGTTCTTGTGCTTCTTTTGTGTTTTTTCCTGCAGGTTCTTGAAACACATCCAAATTATCCAAAAATCAGAAAGGATATACTTGATAAAGCCCGCACATCTTTAAGACCTTGAAAGTTATTTTGACTTAGTGTGTTGATTAAGTGGGAAATGAAGGGAATCTGAGTTTTTCCAGTTCAAAATAGGTTTGAGCTAATATTTTGTAATAGAAGATTCCTCTCTTTCTCCAGCAGAGGCTGCTGTTGCATGTAAAGAGATATACTGTGGCCAATAGATGTTTTCTGATGGGGAAGGTGAATGAGAGCTGGTTTGACTGACCCTCTTGATTAGGTTTCTCTGTGGTAAAGACTATGACCCATTTCTATAAAGAATATTTTGTTGAACTCTATGTAATTTAGTGTACTGTGTTTTCTAAAGAGTATTAGTTGTTTATTTCAGGAAACAATTAAAATGCTTTTGTTCTCTGTTCAAGTACTTTGTAACATCTCTAGTTTCAGCTGCTTGAGTAAATTCCCTTGTAAATAATTTATGAAAAAGAAATTATACATTTTAATAAGGATTTTACAAATTTACAGTTTGTGTTCCTCTTGGAACTCAAATGGCGTGGCAAGTTTGACAAAATTAAGATATGCTCCCCATTCAGTCTGCAGTATAAATGAGTAGTATCTCGGAAAATTAGGCTTTTCTAGAAAAATCTTTTTGGAAATGTATAAAGAATGTGAGTTTACCTTCCCTTTGGTGAACTCATTCTTCCTGCTCTCAATGCCAATGTGATCTTAAGAAATAATCAGTACCTGAAATCAGCCTAAATAGGTAAACCTTTATAGCAATAATTAACCCCAGCTCAAAGACTAGGTATTTGTTGTAATTTCCGACACTGTAACATCTGGTGGAAAAGGGTGACTAAATATTATTGGTGAGCAACGTCTCGCTCTATGTGCCTAAGGCTATGGCTTAGCATTTCTCATCCTTGTATGATAAATTTAACCCAATCTTAATTCTTAGCATTATTTTTAATTTGTTGTCTATATCTTTCTCAGTTGTCTTTTTAAACACAATGAACATAATTTTCAACTTCATTTGTGTTCTCAGTAAATAGTTTTTTGAAAGTCACTTGCTGCTTTTCTTTAAGTGTTCTATGTTTATTTCTTTTGAGCTACATTCTCCTGTTTCTGATCACTTCTCCAATTTCCAAAGTCCTTTTAATTCCTAAAATTCTAATCATTCTTGTTTTTCATCTGCCTTTTATTTATAGCATTTATAACATTTAGTAAGAACATTTATGAAGCATTTCTTAAATGTTAAACACTTTGACACATCTTATTACATCTGATCCTCACAACCCTAAAATAAAAAAAATCTTTCAGACCAAAGGAACATGGTTAAGGACATCATATAACGGAATATCTTTAGTAGTTCCAGTGAGCTTACATCATGGAATGCTAGGATAATGGAAATTGGATAGAGAAAGTAGGACATCTGTTCTTTAACAATATATTTCCAAATCACGTTTCCTATCTGTAAAATGAGTAGTCATTTTTTTTCTTAAACAACCACTTATTTTGCACCTGCCATTTGTTAAATACTATTGTAGGAACTTCCCTTACATTCTCTCTCTTAATTCTCACTCAACTCCTCGGAGAAATAATAGTCATACGTTTCAGATGAGGAAGATGAGGCTCAAACTAAACGATTTGCCCAGGGTCACAGAAAAAGGTGTCAGAACTTGGGTTTCATACTGGCCCAAACCAGTTCAAAGCTCATGCCCTATTACTCTATTAAGATGCCTTACCTAACTAAGGTTGTGTCTAAAGGAAGAAAGAATCTCTTGACTTTCTTTATCGAGCAGGTGAATCTGAGTGTTCTGTGAGAGCCGTCTAAATAATGAGCCAGAGGACCTGGGTGGAACGAACATCTCACTGATAGTTTCACAGATGTGGAGATGATCAGTGAGATGCTGAAGTGAGGAGCAATGTAGGGGCGGCTAAGAACGTGGATTTGAAGTCAGACCAGCTTAGCTCTAAATTTCGGCTTTACCACTTCTAGAGATTTCATCTCCCTCAAGTTATATAGGCTCATTAAGTCTTGGTTTTCTGATGCATAAAAAAGCATCTAAGAATCATGTGCCTCAGGCTGTTAAAAGGATTAAAGGGGAGAAATATAAAAAACCTGTAATGAATCTGACTCACTTAGGTTCTTAATAAAGAGTAGCTCTGCTTACTTATTATAAGTGGCAGGACCAAGTGGTACATGCAACTGGGAAGAGCCCTCACAGAGGGAAAGAGAAAATGCAGTTCCAAGGTGAGACAAAGAGGGGGGTAAGTTCCCCAAGACAGCCACGCAGCCTTCAGGATTCTCAGGCATTCTCTGCCTCCTCCCCACCCAACCTGCTCTTGCTTCTTTCTCCTTCCCTCCCCCGCCACCAGACCTCATGCTTTATGACTAAGCCTTACGTGACATGCCCAAGGTCGCACATGCAGGAAAGATGGAGCTCAGACTGCTCCAAACTGCTACTTGCAGAATCAAGGTAAAGGAGAGTCTGGTGCCTGTGCTGAGGATGAAGGGAGGGACACAACGTGAATGAAAGAATTTTCTGTACATCTGGGATCTGCATACCGCCCTCCTCACGGTAAGGAGGCAGTTACACGTTCAGGGTTCAGTGCTCTTTGACCTTAGGCCAGCCAGTATGGTGAACTGTGTCCCAGGAAGAAACATCTTTCTTCTCAGAAGTCAAGAACCTAGGGCAATTCTGGGAGAGCTTTATGCAGGGACCGCTGGGACAGTGCGGTTGGACTTTGCACTAGGGTGGAAGTAGGTAATGGAATTACTGTGTGAACTAAAAGACCAGTTAAGACTGAGAGAAAGGAGGCAAGTGAATCGCTTTATAACAGGATCAAATAGCAGTGTTACTGCTGATAAAATAACGAATGTTTTGTTTTTAATGAAAGATTGGCAGAAGTGCGAGAAAACCACCAGATTCATCCCTGCTGGTAGTGTGTGGAGACGCCTTCCTGGCAGTTTGTCCTTTGAGTGAATAATCCCACCTAGGGGTGATTTAACATAGAAGTTACCTAGATATCTCCTCAGTTCTGCAGTTTAAGGGTATTACAGCAGAAAGCTTGGTTTTTGATTTGTTACCAAAACGTTTAACATGAAAATGGCCAAACACATTAAAGTTTACCCAATAAGGCAGTACTGTGTAGTCATCAAAAACAGCTTTCAAAGATCATTACTTTGTAAAACTTTTCAAAAGTTTTTAACTGCTAAAATTCTCACAAAATAAGTGAAAAAGTAGGAAATATCACTGTTTATATGACATTAAGTTGCAAAAAATATATATAGATAAGTACACACAAAAGTAGATGAAATGAGCCCAGTTTTTAACAGTAGTTATTTCTGAGTGATGAAATAGAGTTTTATTTCTTTGTCATTTCATGTTACTGACAATGAACATATACACCAACAGTAAGAGGTCTTTTTTCTTTCTTTTTTTTTTTTTTAGAGAATAACCTCAAACTTTCTTTTTGCTGTTCAAAGCTGTTTTGCTGAGCAAGGATGAGTAGAAAAAAATAAAAGCTGGCATTCTTTCAACTCAGCACCCACACCTTATTACTAATTGTTTATACAAAATGTAATTTAGTTTGTTTCAGCTATCAGAGAACAAGATTCAGGAAGCAGAAGATAGAAAAAGACTGCCAGTAAATGGTAATAGGCGTGGTAATAGCAGCAGTGCCATAGAATATAGGATAACTAAGGGGCGATGCAAGGACCTCTTGTCAAAATGAGTAAAGAGCGTAGTCCTGCTACCACAGAATAAAATGGAGAGCAAAATCCGTTCTCTGCACTTTGAGTCCATTTTTCTTGTAACCGGAGTTTTAAAGATGGTCCTGTCAAATTTAATTAGAAGAAGGCAGTGGAAATAACAGATCACACAGGGCCACAACGTGTGGTCGAGTAGTGTGTCCTGAGCAGTGACCCAGCTGAGGGGGGAGTGGGTGGAGGCTGAAGTCCGGCACCCCCAAGGCTTGCTCCCTGCAGCCACATCCCTTGGAGGAAGAGGACCCTCTTTTCTAATTTGAACCAAGTTTCCTTGCAGGTCAGTGATCGCCCTGGCTACCGCAGGATGGAGAATTGTTTTGCTTTTGTTTCGTTTTCTAAGATAGGAGCTACTTGAGCATCTTGGAAAATCTATGGACAAAAACCAATATTGAAGGTGTAAGAAAGAAGAATGGAAAATCTGAGTAGGTAAGGGGTGGGGCCCAGGGGTCCTATAGAATAATTAAGAGTTCGGAGAAATGTGATTTTTGTAAAAGAATTAAAGAAACAAAGTAACTGCTGAAAGAGGTATTACATATAAAGGTGGCCTCGGGCACCCTTCTGCCAGTGGGCTCCAGTAGTGTTACAATAAATAAAATGGACTTTGATCTAAAGGCAGTACCACTCCACTCCTTCGTATGCATGGAATTTGGGGCCTCTTGTTTTCTTTGGGCGCTGAAGTGTATTTCACTTACTTCCAGGTTCCTGGTTGTGGTTTCTGGAGGTCTGCCTGCCAGATTGGGGGAGGAAGGAGCTGGTTACTGTCACATCATAAATCATAGTTATGAGCAGAACAGTGCTGTCCACCTTCTAACGCACTTCCTAAGAACCAGATGTTCTCTAGAGCAGCGCTTCCCCCTACAATCTGCCCTACAATGCCCATGAATGTATCTGGCACAATGCCCATAAAAGCAATTTGACCCCATAAATGAGGAAAGCTGAGTAATAAGCAAGTTCTAAATGTCTTCCTTCTGAGTGGTATAACCTTAGAATCTATGGCAATCTTTAAACCAGACTGTTTTCAAATAGCATGTTATTTTTATCTTTCTTTAAACAAATTGTTTTGGCCAGGCAAAAGAAACTTGTTTGTTTGTTTTTTTTTTAAGAAAAAGGATATTTTAAGAAGGTAATTACTATTTCAGTTTCCACCAGAGGCAGGCTAGTTTTATTTTTAATGGGTAAATGATGTAAGAACCTTAAAAAAAAAAACCAACACCACCACTTACAACAGTGAAGAACAGAGCTGGGAAGCAGACAGTCGTAGCCTCACTTGTAATGGGGCAGCATAATCAGTCCTGTTTCATAGCTACAAATTACACTTTCTTTGAAAAACACACCAAGCTTAAACATTTTGAAGGGAAAACAATGTGCTAAAATGCTCAACGGTTTCATAAATGCTCTTTTCAGTTTAAGTTAAATATTTGACATTATAGTCAACATACGAAAGCTTTTCCCTGACATATAATTTCTTGAGCACTTTCTGGCCATTTTTTCACATTGACTTACATCACAAATTGCAGAGGATAGTTTGAGGGGGGCTTGAGGGTAGGGGAATGTCCAGGATATTGAAAACACCCAAGAGCAAAGTTAAAATAATTGAACACCTACCACATAATGAGTCAAGAGGAAGAAATGGGATGAGCAAAAGGTATCTGGGTCCTGATGTCACTTCTCTATGCTAAATGCATGACTCAACTGCCTCCAAGTGTAGTATCTTTTCGTAGGTGTTGGCTTATATTTTAGTAGAGTTCTTAAA